AAAAAAAACTGATTATCTAGTTCACTGTGTTATAACTCCTCTCCCTTAACTGTCGAAGATATTTTATTGCATAGCATCTGAAATAAAGTGCTTTTAAAATTTGTTTTACACTACTTAAATTATTTCATTTCTAAAGGGCAATCCATATTTCCAATTTTATCTTTCTCAAGGAGGAGGAATCTTCTGTGTATTTCAACTGTATGTCTTCATTTGATAAGGTCAAGAGAAACTTATGTATCCCTAAAAATCTTTCTATTACACATAGGAGATATTTTGGGGAACTATGAATATTTGAAAGGGGCATGCTAAAAATCAGTATTTTAAAGTGAAAGACCTAGAAGAATGTTTGTATTCTTTGTTAATAACTGGTGAGTATTAGTAACTCATACTTCATGGGAAATTATGCTAATATTAACATTCTGCATACTTATGATTAGGTTTCAAGACTTTTTCTACTCCTTTTAAATGAAGCAGAATTAAGCAAGCTTAGTCAGCTATAATTTTTAAGTTTACATTGTGAAAATATTTTCCATGCCTACAATTGTTAGAAATTGACAGGAGAGAAAAAACTCAACTTACTACTTGTTAAATATTTTAAGAGACACATGCTAATTTAAAGAACTAATGTTTTACTCCCATTCTTACAGCTTGGAATTGAAAGAGAACCAATTCCACAAGATATTGAAGACCCTAAAGCCTACAGGTATGGCAAGCCTTGATAAATAGTGACTAGGTCTGAACTTTTGCAAAACCAACATGTTACAATTTTGATCAAACTAGTGGAATTTCTAAATTATCCAGTGCTGTATTTCACTTAGGCTATTTCCGTATCCTAATTTTCTATCCATTTACATTTCTGTTTGCAGTATTGAGAATGCTAGGAAAAAAAGAGAACATGACAAGTTAATGAAAGAGGTGGAAGAAATCAAGGCTGGGAAAAGAGAAAAGCTCAAAGCTTTAAGGAATGAATTTGGGAAACTACTAGAAATGAATGAAAAATTACCAAAGCACATGCAGTTTAAGCGGACAGTAAGCCTAAAATAAATTTGACTTTATTATATGCTGGCATGGATGAAGACTACAGTCCTGCCAACAAGTAGGAAGATTTAAAGTCCCCTTTGTCTGGGGAAACCTTGTTGGCAGGAACTAAACTGCTGTAGGCCACACAACTTTGTTGATTTGCAGATGAGATGAACCTCTGCACACAATACATAATTCACTTCCGGATATAGCTAATTGGCTTTTCTTGGTAGCAAGCTAAAAATACAAATATATGTTGAAGCTGTTTATCAGTACAGTAGAGTTTATCTCTACTCGAGATATCTAATTGTTAGAGTCTCTGGTTCCATTTCTGTAATTCATTAGGTCTGTTGGAAAGACCTAATGAATATTTCTGAAAGATGACTTTACATTGTTGTAGCTATGAGAACAATCACCATGTTATTTAAGCTAATTCTATATTTTGTTCATTGTGACTAGTATTAAAGCCCCCTCTATCGACCTAGAAATTAATTTTTTCATTTTGTGCTTCTTCCTAAATGAGGTTACTGTTGAGAGCCTAATCAAACAAAAACCTAGACTTTATCTTGCTGTGTCATTTGCTCAGTACTGTAGAAGCATCTATTCAGTTTCACAGTGAAAATGATAATTATTAACTCACAGTATGGGTTTAACAGACCAAGTTGTAATGGTTAAAAGACATTTATGAATTTTTTTTTCCCAAAGGGAAAGATTGCCCTGTGTGGGTGCCATGATTTGAAATAAAGAGTGAGTGGGGCAAATTCTAGGCTAAGCATTTTATACACATCATTTAAAAAAATAGAAACCTCTGAAAAGAATAGCTATTGCAACTTAGTGTCAGTGAAGGCTGTGATATTTTTCTAGGAGTGAAGATTAAACACACATGAGGTGCATAAGTACCCTTATGGGGGAAATAGGCCCCTTGGGGAAGGACCAGCGCTTGGTGATATGAAGATGTAGTGATGTGACTTTTCCTGAGTATCACTATGTGAAGGAGGGGTTCAGCTGTGGTGCACTGCCCATGTGGTTACGTGATAATTACTTGATGTGTCATAAAAATTTGTATGATTTTTAATTATTTCTGAGACCTTCATATTTTGTGGACAGCAGATCAAAAGGAAAAACTTTAGGGAGTTGAAGCTATTTGGAAGTGACTTATGATATGCAGCACAAAACTGAGGACAAAATTAAAAAGCCGTATCTGTGCATGAAATAGGAATGAAAATGTTTGCTGACAAGAGTGCCCATTTTGATGAATGTATCCATTTAACCTGCAGGATTTTGATGTAGATTCCAGAATTCGTGCTGAGGTTGCCAGAAAAACAGTTCATAAAATTAGACAAGTGGAAAGCGAATTAGCTTGGGAAAAAGAGAAGTATCACCTCGGCCTACTGAAGCTACAGAATAGGTAGGATCATGTCTCCTGCTAGGTAAGATGTTTGAGAGCATATATTTGAATAAAGCAGGCTACAGTGGATTAGTCAGAGTAGTCAAGCAAAGCAATCAGGTAAGAAATCTCCTGAAGATTTGTGCTTTGGTGGTGTGTGTGATACAGTAACACACCACATTTCCTGATATAGGGTGTGATATGTAACTAAGGCAATTTTACCATTATAAAAATGACATAATTGAAAATTATTTTCTTCAGTAGTCATGAAGTCTTGCAAGCTCAGTGAATCCTCATGCTACTGCTACTTGAATCTTCTTGAACTTTCATGAACTAGTTCCTAGATTAAATCTGAGAAAATTTGTTCAATAGACGTCTTAACAAACTGTAATATTTACTTTCTACTTTGGGAAAAGTATCTTAGATTGATATATGATCATGAACATATTAAGAAATGAAATAGAACCAAAGGATTTATAATGAAAGAAAACTTTTGTGCAGTCAGTCTCTCATGGACTTCTCAGAGGAAATTGCCCATCCCCATTTTTTTGCCTTTTGAGATTGTTTACAGACAGCAAAAATGATTGTTTACAGACAGCATAAATCATAAGTGAATAGCTTTTCAAATTTTTTAGGTATATAAACACATATACATTACCTGAGTTAAGAACACTTATACCACTCTAGGAAGTTCCCGTCACCCCCTCCAGTAAACACTTACTCTCCAAATGTAGGTATTCATCGCCACAGGTTCATTTTGTCTAGGAACTCTTATGTTTAGCTTTGTTTGCTCAGTATTATGGCCAAGATTATCTACATTATTGAAGAAGGTAGTAGTTCATTGCTTTGTATTGTTCTCATACCTGTTTATACCACAACTTATCCGTTGATATTTGAGGAGTTTCTATTTTATTGGTTTCTACAAACAATTGATACTTTGAACATTCTTCTGCATGTTTTTTGATAGGCATAAACATTTTTGTTAGATAACTAGGTAGAACTGCTGGGTGATATATGCAGATTTAGATTAGACTCTGCAAAATGGCCTTCCAAAATGATCCATCCATTTTTACTCTGATCATTAATGTATGACAATTTTGATTGATCCCACTGTATGAATTTCCTGTTGGTTCTATAAGAAAGGACGATATTCTGGTTGGTTTAAAATAGCAGACATTTACCACCTGGCACTTCTGGAGGTTAGAAGATGATAATCAAAACTGTTTACTTGAGTTGGTTTCTTTGGAGAGCTGGAGAATCTGTTACTTCACTTTCCCTGGGCCCTGATGACTTTCTGGCAGTCCTTGGATTTGCGGGCTCATAGTTGCATCTGCCCCGGTCTGCCTTTACATGGTGTATGTGTCTCTTTGTGTAATCTTCTCTCTACATGTCCGAATTCCCTCTTTTTATGAAGACACCAGTCATATTGAATTAGGACACAAATCTACTGTTCTTATTTTAGCTTGATTACCTCTGTCAATACCCGACTTTCAGCTAAGGTCACATTCTTAGGTACTGGGCATTAGAACTTCAGTGTACCTTTTCGAGGGCACATGGTTCAACCCCTAACATTCATGCTGCCATTCTATAATCCTGTCTTTGTAATTTAAATGGCATTTCCCTGACTTTCAACACTTTTCCCTGAATTTCAACCCTTTTCCCTGTACTGATGGTTATTTGTATATTCTCTCTTTTCACTTTTACTCAGTGTTCAAATCTTTTGTTCATCTGACTAATTGGGTTATAGGAGTCACTTATATCTTTTATGCATGACTGTCATACATGACACACGTATATATGACACACGTATATATGACACGTGTGTATATGACATGTGTGTGACATGTGTGTATGTGACACGTGTGTATGTGACATGTGTGTATGTGACACGTGTGTATGTGACACGTGTGTATGTGACATGTGTGTATGTGACACGTGTGTATGTGACACGTGTGTATGTATGCCTTCATTTAAAATATCTTGCTCTAGTTTGTGACTTGTCTTTTCACTCTTTTTAATTTTATTTACTTATTTTGTAGAAGAACTGGGGTATAGGCCAAAAGTGCGGGGGGTGAAAGTATTCACTAGAGATAAATGGGGAGTAGGAGCAGTCTGCTGCACCATATGTGGGTCAGCTTTCTGGCCTCAGATTGAACTTGGGCTGTAGCAGTAATAGTGCTAAGACTTAACCCTTAGGCCACCAGGGAGGATCCTCTTTTCTTTCTCTTTTAGTGTTTTGGTTTTTTAAAGATTTATTTATGCATACAGAACTGGGGTACAGGTCAGAGGTGTAGGGGCAGTGAGAGGATTCACCAGAGACAGATTGGGGAGCAGAAGAGGCAAACTGATGAGGTACACTACTGAGGGGAGCAGTGGGAGGGTCAGGAGAGGTCTGTAGCGCCATGTGGGTCACCTCCGGGGTGGGCGGGGATCAAACTCAGTGCTGAAGTGGCTGTAGCTTCTTAGTGCTGTGCTTTAACCCACTGTGTCACCAGGGAGGGACCAGTGTTGTTGTTGTTTTTTTTAATAGAAAGTTTTAATTTTGATAAATTTCAATTTGAGTTTTTCATATGGTTAGTGATTTTATATTGAAGTAAAAACATCTTTGCTTAGTTCCAATTCATGGAATAAGTGTCTCATATATTTTTTTCAAGAGGTATTGGTTATTCATTATCAATCTTAAATAATTTTTGTGGGTGGTATAACCAAGTGGCATTGGTTCCGTATGTATATCCAGTCCATTATTGAAGAACCTAATCCTTTCCTCACTAGAGTGTAGTGATATTTTTGTCATGAATCATTCTAATCCACTGACTTATTTATCTTTGTGTTGATATCACACTATCTTAGTTGCTGTTGACATCAGATAATGTATGTACTCTGGCTTTGTTCATCTTCAATATTGCTTAAGGTCTTTGCATTGAATCAACTTGTCAATTTCCACACAAAATTCTAAGCTTTTAGATCTTAGATCAACTTAAACATAACAAACACTGCAAAATATGGCAAAGCTACTTTTTAAAAAGCTTATATTTTGTCACTGAGGTAACATCGGTTTACAATGTTGTTTATGATTTAGAGATAAGGACTCTTTTACCCCCTCAGGTGCTGTCACCATACCATGCTCACTACCCTAAAACCACAGTCCACCAGAGTTTTGTGCTTCTGCTCCACTTGGTTCTTGCCCATCATCCTCCCTCTCTGGTAGCCTCAGTTCTATGATCAAATTTCTAGAGTTTGTTATTGGTTTCACCTTACCTTACACTTTGTTTTGATTTGATTAAAATGGTGACTACTGCAAATATATTTTTTAATTTTTCAGATTTCGTGATTCACTGGAAAGTGATGTTATTGTGGTTAATGCCATACAGAGTGATCACAAGATAGTCTCTTACAGACTTGTGAAGCCTTCCAAATACTCCAAATTCAAACGAGTAAGTCAAGCAGAGAGAAAAACAAGCAAATTAGAGAGGCTTGAAAAAGATGGAGTTGGAAGAAAGGAAAGCACGAGAGATTCAGGTAAGACTAACTGATGTGAAGTCTTTTCATTATATTTTGAAATAGGGTTGCCAAGACAGATTTTCAGGATTCCTTTTGAAATGAACTTAATGATCAGTCTTGTCGAGATCATTGTTGTATCTTATACTTAGAAAAGTCTAAACCAGGGGAGCAGACAGGTTTCAACTGCTGTCAGCCTCAGTCGATGAGTCTACCTGCAGTGTGACTGGAAAGCATCACGAGGCTGTTCTTGCTCAGCCCTCGCTCTGCCGCTCTGCTGGAGGGCACCCGCTGCTTGACTGGCAGTGGCTACTTTGAGAAAGTCGCCGAGGGTTCTAGCTCTGGAACCGTAACTCCAGGTTACTTTCTCATACAAAGCTCAGAAGCAAGGTAGAAATTAGATGTCCATCACAGAATTATATGAAAACAAAATGTCAGGCAGTCATCTTGCTTTAGGATTCCTTTGCTGAAAGATTGGGACTTTGGAAGTTGGGTTTTGAATCTGAAATGGGGAAACCCAGCTTGGGAGTGAGAGGCTGACCCAGTTGGTGGTCCTCACCTTCACCTTAACAATGCAGAGAGGAAGAACAATAATAGTATTGATTTACAGTAGGAAAAGGGAAAGCCGAGAGAGTGAGGATTTATAAGCCAACATGTGGCCATCACTAGGCTGTGGTATGTATGTGGATTTATTTCTGAACTTTGGATTCTATTCTATTGACTCATGTATCTATTTTGTGTTATTACCATATTATTTTTAGTACTGTTTGCTTGATAATAAAGTTTGAGGTCACGTCCTATTTTCACCCACCCCCCCAGAGTTGTTTAGGCATTGAGGCCTTTAGTGTTTCCATATAACTTTCAACATTGTTTAACTTCTTTGAAAAGATATTGCTGATACTTAAGTGAGGATTTTGTTAAATTTATGTATCTTTGCAGGCAGGATAGTCATTTTGATTTTATTGGTTCTCCTCATCCATGAACATGGGATAACCTTCCATCTTATGTTGTTACTTAAGTCCTTTAATAACAACATAAGATTATTCTAGTTCTTGTTATGTAGGTTTTTAACTGTCTTCATTAGGTTAATTCGGAGGTATTTAATTATTTTTGAAGCCAGGTGGAGTGATTATTTTAAATTTCTTTTGCTGCATGTTCTTGGTACCATACAAGGGCTCTTGATCTTTTTATGTTAACCTTGTAACCTGCCACTTAGCTGAATTTGTTTCTAATTTTTTTTTTTTTGTATAGTCTTCAGGATGTTTTTCTATATATTGCCCACAAGTAATGATTGTTTCTTTTTCAGCTTGAATTCTCCTTATTTTCTATATTTGTCTGATAGCTCTAGCCAAAACTTCTCATACTAAGTCTAATAGAATTGGCCTAATAGAACTGATGTAGCTCTTAAAGGAAAGCAATCTGGATTTACTTTAAAAGGCTAAAATTGGAAATACCATATACCCCAGAAATTCCACTTTTGGGCACAAAGCCACAGAATATGAAACCATCAACACAAAAATCTGTATGTTCCACAATGTTCACAGCAGCACTGTTTACAATAGAGTACATGGAGGCAGCCTCATATCCGTGGATGAACAACTAGATCAAGAAGATGTGGTGTATCCATGTGATGGAGGCTTCCTGGTCTGGTCCTTGATAATAAGGGGGAAACTTTCAGGTTTTCACCACAGAGGATTATGTTGGCAAATAGCTATGTTGGCTATTTGTGATCTAAGACCTTGGTTTTGTTGAGGCAGTTCCCTTCTATCCCCATTTTGTTTTAGAATTTGTATCATAAATAGGTGACACCTCTTATCAAATGCTTTCTCTGCATCTATTGGTAATGTTTTTTTATTGTTTAACTTTTTTTTACTATTGTGTATTATATTGATTACACTATTGTGTATTACACATTAAACCAGACTTACATCCCTGGAATGAATCCCACTTTATCTTGGTATATACCCCACACACCTGACACTACTTCAGTAACTAATTCATGTCTGTCCTTTTAGAACTCTGTAAGTTCTTGGGGATTCAGATCAAATTATACATTTATGATAAAGTCTTTCTTTTCACATTTAAAATAAGAAATATGATGAATTAGAAGTATATAGCCAACTATAATATTTTAACTGTTGCCATGTATACCTAAAGTATGTCTTTATGAAGAATAGTTTCCCCAGTGTTTACATATTAATTGATAAAGTAAATAATTTTAAATCACAGATTTGATTGTGTTTTGACCAGTGTTTACTTGGCCACAGAACATGCAGTTAGCATATGTCACCTCAAACTCCAATAGAGCTCTCTTGTTTGCCCCTCACACCCTCCCAACTTCCATCATTATGTATCTATTCTCTAATTGTTTAATATATGGCTAATCTGTGGCCCTCCCTGGTGGTGCAGCAGGTTAAAGCACAGCACTAAGAAGCTAAAGCCACTTCAGCATGAGTTTAATTCCTGCCCCGAGGTGACCCAAATGGCATGGCAGACCTATCCTGACCGCCCGCTGCTCCCCTCAGCAGTGTACTTAGTCAGTTTGCCCGTTCTGCTCCCCACTCTCTGGCTCTGGTGAATCCTCTCACCGGCCCTGCACATCTGGCCTGTACCTTAGTTCTGTATGTATGCATAAATAAATCTTTAAAAATATATATGGCTAATCTTGCCAAACGCTAGTAAAGTTCTTAGTACTATAGTTGTTTAAAGAAAGAATTGGTTTATAGATTTATTATATTTGAATTTTTTGAAATGTGGGTTAAACAATTATTTGAGAGTTTTACTCTGATGTTTAAAAAAGATTTAAAATGTTGACTCTTCTGTACAGGTGGAAGTATGGTTATGCCAGAAGAATCAATTATAGAAAAAGTGGAAAAATATAGGCCTAGGACCTTAAGTGAAATTATGGTCAAAAATCAAATTGAGAAGACGAGGAAACTTATAATAAAAGCTGAAAAGGCCCAACTTAAGATTCAGCAGCGTAAGAAAGAATGGGATGAACTGTAAGTTTTATTACCTAAAGTCTTTCATTTTTAATTTCTTAATATATTTTAAAAATACTTATATTGACATTGCTATTTAAATAAAGAATTGAAATAACATAGATGGAGACACTGAAGACAAATCAACTGGATCTTTCAGATTGGGTGAAAGCACTTCGGTGAATATCTTTTATTCTGAGAATTTCAGTTCCAGAAATTCCATTTTACTAATATACTGAGATTTATTATTTATGCATACAGAAGTGGGGTATAGGCCAGAGGTGCAGGAGTGGTGCCAGGATTCATCAGAGATAGAGTGAGGAGCAGAGCAGGCATATTGAGGAAGTACATTGCTGAGGGGAGCAGCAGGTGGGCCAGGAGAGGTCTGCCACACCATGTGGATCACCTCCGAGGCAGGGCAGGGATCCAACTCATGCAAAAGTAGCTTTAGCTTCTTAGTGCTGTGCTTTAACCCGCTGCACCATCAGGGAGGGCCTGAGAATGATTTTTAAGCATTAAAAAATTCTATTTTAGCCCAACATAAAGAAGATATTCTCCTTTATATTCTTCTAACATCTTATAATTTTGACTTTCACCTTTTGTTTTATAACCATCTGCATATGACTTAAAATGCATTATTACACACACCGTAATGATTATTACAGTTATGTAATCGGTCTTGAAATTGGATAGACTGATTTTTGAAAATAGGTACTTTTATTTAGCAAGGATAACTTTTTAATTTCCCACCATGTATCTTCATGGGCTTTTCATATGATCAAGTGAAATTGTTTACTTTTATATTGCTGAGTTTTTAAGAGTTCTTTATATATTATACATCCTAGCCCTATGTTGTACAAGTTGCTTGCAATTTTTTTTTTCCAGCATGAAATTTGTCTTTTCATTCTTTAACAGGGTCTCCTGTAGAACAAAAGCCTTCAGTTTTGTTGGAGCAGGTTAATATTTTCCTTCTATGGATCTAGTTTTTTGTCAAGTTAAGAACTCTTTTCTTGACTCTAAGTCTCAAAGACTTTCTCCTATTTTTTCCTAAAAGCTTTATAGTTTTATCTTTTATGATTAAGTCTGCAATCCATTTGGTATTCATTTTTGTGTGTAAGATGTAAAATTTAGTTTCAGTTCACTGTTTACCTGAGGATGTCAATTGCTGTAGTATTGAAAAGACTCTTTCCTCATTAAAATGTTCTATGAAGTTTGGAGGGAAATAGTCATGTGGGCATATCTGTGTGGGATTAGTTCTGAGTTAACTTTCATGTATGTTGGTATCTGTGTGTGTTCCCTGGACAATGACACACTGTCTTGATTATCACAGCTATGTGATAGGTCTTGAAACTGGATAGGCTGATTTAAAAAAAAAAAAAAAATCAAAGTCGTTTTATATGGAAAGGCAAAGTCATTAGAAAGGTTATAGTTTAGAATAATCTTGTCTTTACCAAAAAAAATTGCTTAAATTCTGACAGGAATTTTGTTAAGCCTATATGTCAGTTTCAGGAAACTTGATGTATTTATTATGTTGAATCTTCTAATCTGTAAACATGGTGTGATTACTTATATCTTCTTTGATTTCTTTCATCAGTATTCTGTTCTTTTCAGTAAAAAAAATACTATACACATTTTGTTACATTTACATACAAATGTTGCATGAAGGGGGTCAATCAAAAATGGTATTTTTTATTTTGCTATCTATGTGTTGGTGTTCATTGCCAGATAAAACAGTTAATTTTTATGTTTTTCTGCTAAGCTGTGATCTTGCCGAACTATCGTTCTGAGAGACTCTTTGGCAAGATCTTGGTTGGGATTTTTGGTCTAGATAGTCACATCATCTGTAGATAGGTAGCTTTATTTCTTTCTACTTAACCTATTTGCCTGTTCTTCTTCCTATTACACTGCTTAGAACTTGTAGTACAGTGCTAAAATAGACTGGTAGATCTCTCTTCCACACCTTCCTTCCGATCTTAGGGAGAAAACATTCAGTGCTGGAATGGTATAACTGTTTCCATCCTTTTATGTCAACCTACCTATATTGCTATATTTAAAGTTAGTATTTATTTACAAGATATAGGTGGGTTATGTTCCTTAATCCATTCTGTCAATAGCAGTTCTGTTGGTATATTTAGACTATGTACAGTTGACATTTATTTTTAGAGCCTATAGCTCTTATTTTATACTGTTATCCGTTTCCTGCTTTCCTATAGTTTACCTGAATATATTAGAGTTCTGGATTTTGAGTATATCGCTTTGATTAGTTTGTTTGCTTCAGTTACTGTATTTTATATATAATGTTTTATAAATGTAGTCTTATTTATGATATGGATTATAAACACATGTAATATGTGTACATGTGTGTATGTGTGAATAATGTTTATCATCCTGCTCTAACTGACATCTGGAGAATGCCACACCCAAGAAAGAAAATACAGATAGTCTTTTTCAAGCACACACTGAGATTTCACCAAGCTAGACTAAATGTAGGCCTGTAGGGAAGGCCCAGTCTAATGGTGCTGGTGTTTTAGCAGTTTGAAGGAAGTATAGAAACCTACCTGCCTTAACACCTGCTCCTTCTGGTTACCCTCTTTATAGTGATATAAGCATTTCCCTTATACATAGTTTAGAACCAGCTCAGTGTTACTGTATTTCTTCAATTTTCAAACATAATGTAGACAGTAGAATGCAATGAATTCATCCATATTGTTACTTTTAATCTTTTCATTTTTCTATTTGATGTTCTAAGATTGCTGCTTCTATTTCATTTCAGTTTAGAGGACTTCCGTTAGCCTTTTTGGGTGGGTGATAAATTCTTAGATTTCCTTCATCTCAGAAAGGCATGATTCCACCTTTAATCATGAAGGGTATTCTTACTGGACAGAGAATTTTGTATTAGCAGTGTTCTTCAGAACATGAAAAATACTGTTTTTCCTATAGCTTTCAAGTTTCTTGTGAGCAATCTATTGTCATTCAAGCGGCTTTTCCCTTTTTATAAGATATGTTCCTCTAGCAACTTTCAGGGTTTTCCTCCTTTATTGTTAGTTTTTAGAAGAGTAAATATGATGTTTCTTGGGATAGATTTCTTTGAAATTATCCTTTTGGAGTTTAGCACTGAGATGCATTCAACTAATTTGCATACATTATTCAGTCCAAAATATCATCTTATATCCCTTGTGAGTTCTTGCTTGACTTTCTGGTTGGTTTCTTCATTGCTTATGGTTTATTTTGGTTTCCAAATATTTTGGGGTTTAAAAATATTTTGCTTGATTTCTAGTTTTTGTGGTCATAAAAATTTGGTATGATTTAAATTCTTTTAAATTTATTGCTCATTCCCTGTAGGCTACATTTAGTCTATATTAGTGAAATTTTAGTGTGTACTTGAAAAAGAGTGCATGCATTCTTGGGTGTTGTGTTCTGTAGATGTCAGGACAGGGTGATGTTCAGCTATATTGTTGAGCTATTCAGTTTTTCTCAGTTTTGAAGGCATGATGTTTTGGGGTCTATACTGAGTGTTTCTTTCATTGAATAAGGTTTCTCCAGCTGATAGGAGCATGAGTGATTTCTAAACTATGTGTAAATTGGGAGAACTGTTTCGCAGTCTCCTAATAATTATACTTTCCTCAGAGAGTATTCTTTGCCTAGTTCATGGTGTTTTACCTTACGGGCATACAGATTCTCAGTCCAAACTCAAGCAGCCTACTATAAATTTCTATAGGCACTTCTTTGTGTACTCTCATCATTCTTTTTCATGAAATTCTAAACTTTAGCTTCTCTGAACTCTCATCTGTCTTTTCAAAAAGTGAGATGAGTGCACAATATACTTGAAATCCCTAATACACCCCATGGTCTGATACTTCCTTCTATGCAGTTAATATAAAGTTTACTTATTTTACTTTCCTCAAGAATTACAGTTCTGTGCTGCCCCACATTCAGTATCTGAGCAGAACTGTTTCTTTTTAAAGGTTTTTTTATTTGTGTACAGGCCAGAGGTGCAGAGGGTAAGAGGCTTCACCAGAGACAGAGAAGAGAAGGAAGTAGAATAGGCAGATGGACTGAGATACACTGCTGAGAGGAGCAGTGGATGGGTCAGGAGAGGTCTGCCACGCCATGTGAGTCAGCTTGCTGGCCGGGGATAGAGCTCATGCTGCAGTGACTGCAATAGCTTCCTAGTTCTGTACTTTAGCCTGTTGCACCACCAGAAAGGGCCTTGAACATAGTTGTTTAAGGGTTTTGCTTAGTTGTCTAATAACTTACAGCATGAGGATAACTACAGACTTCTGTCTCTCACCTGGCCCTTTCTCTCTCCTTTTCCTCTCCTTTTCTTTGAAACTATTACTCCTCCCTTTATGCTACTGTAAATGTTATGCAAATGAAGGAGTGTCTGTACAGGTGATGGTGTGCATTTTCTGCTATTGTATACATTTGTTTTCCCAAAGGCCTGACTGCACATTTATGTTGACTTGTTGGCTTCACTTGAAAGAAGTAGATACCAAGGTAGATGTCTCCCAGTGGTGCCAACCTTTACCCTAGATGTCGTGTTAACTTCCCAAGCAGAGTAGTCAGTTTTCTGTAGAGGTTAGTTCAGTTACAGTCTAGGTGTAAATGTTGCTACCACCTTAAATGTGCCTGTTTCAGGCCTGCCTTTTCAGTCCTCTTGCTGGTCCTGTCAAGTCACAGCTAGCATTGCATCCTCCTCACTCTTGTGCCCCCTGTACTTGAGGCTGCTTAGGAAATATCTGGAAAATCATTTTCAGTTCTTTGGTCGTGATCTCCTGAGGGTTTCCTGGCTTACAGTTTTCTATGACACAGATGATTCATTAATGATTTCATATTCTTTCTCTTCTAGAAATGTGTGACATGCCCTAGCTATCTATCTCACTGTCAGCTTTCCTAACACTTTATTCTCTTTAATGTGCCTATGGCTTTTGGGGACACTAGAGAAGGGGCAGCTACATATACTTATCATCTTGTATTAGATGACCTTTGAAAGTGTTATAACAGCGTGTTTGACAATCGCTTATATAAATGAGAAGTTTCCATTAACTTTTTTGGTTATTTTTTTCAAAAACCCATCTTCAAGGCTTAATATCTATTAAGGGAGTAAATGACAATCTTGATGTAATCAATTACTAGACAGTAGTAACCAAAGCCTAAGAATGATTTAATGACTTAGATAATATCAACATGTAGTTAAAAACCATTTTTTTACTTGATGATCCTCCTTGGGATGCCATTGATTTAAAAACAACCCATGGGTTCTATGGACAAAAGTACATCACAGACTCAATTGTACTTTAGTTCATGATTGATTTTTGAATATATATGTATAGTGAAGTCAACAAATTAGAGGTTTTTTTTTCTGTGGCTGGGTTTTCTATTTTTTGGCAGATACAAGAGCAAGCCTGATGATGACTATGAAGACCCCAAAGATGTCCAGGCCATCAAGGAGGCCCAGATGTACATGGGAGACTTCAACCTGAAGACGGCGGCGGACTACAAGATTCCCGAGCACATGAGAATGAACGCTGCCAAGAAAGAAGAGGAACTGGGACACCTAGACTCTTTGGTAGTCACGCACAGTTTTTACTAGCATAAGATTTTTTCTTTTTTAAAATATAGTCATTATATCATCCTTCATTTTTTGATAGCTGGAAGGGATTATGCTCAGTGCAGAAAAAGCATTAGCCTTTTACTAGAAGTCTGCTAAAGTCACCCATTTTTGCTGTCTTGTCCAAAAAGATCATCATAAACTTTAGACTGGAAAAGACCTTTATTGTCTAGAATAATGCCTGATTTTAGAAGTGAGGAAACTGAGGCCCAGAGAGGATGAAATTTATCTGGGATTATTTGGTTAGAAAGGTAGACTCAGCCATGACGTTAGTTACTGGTCTCAAAACCAGTTTCATAGTCTCTGAAATTCAAACACGTCCTTGCTGGATATGTATAGTCTTGACTACCATCAACTTGGCAGAGACAGAGAGAGAAGAGAGACCTTTCAGGACTTTGCAAACTTCATAGGTGGCTCACTACTAGTCAGTCAGTGCATTCTGTTGGATTCTTTCTGCATCCTTCCAAATTGCTTCCCACTGTCCTGATTCTACCTCCTAGAACTAATGTAATGGTCAAAGTGAATAAATGGCCATTGCTGTCATGGTTAAATTAAAAATTATTGGAAAGTATCAAGCATTTAAAAAATAATGTATCACATATCTTTCCTCCCAATGCAAACCAACTCTAAATGGGCTTTAGACCATCTAGCTGCCTGATTGCACACAGACATGGGGCTGGGTGTGCTTGAAGGCCCTGGTAGGGGTTTTTAGGAAATAGCCTAGGAAAGTTGGCTCCTATGGCTAGAGATGAGGGCCCCCCACCCCCGAAGCCTGGCTTACATAAAGGGGTAGGGAAAAGCAAGCACTCTGGAATCTCTTGGTGTGACATAATGCTGAAGTCCAGGACCATGGCTGAAATCCAGAATGAACATTTCCTAACCTGAAATTTGGCCCACGGTGGGCAACCCTAGATAAATCAATAGGATTTAGATTTCCATCAGGAAAAGGACATTATTTCAAGGTTCTTGACCAAACAGTGGTCATTGTCGCCTTAGATTAGATTTAGTATAAGGCTTGAGGGAGGTTTGGAAAGCTCAGCCCAGTGAGCCAGCTGATGGATTCCAGAGATAAATCCAAGCTGTTACCCACTTTTAGAGAGGCTAAATAGGAAACACCTAAAGCCAAGAGAACAGCAACTTTTCAGTAAGCAGAGTGATCAGAATGTTTCATCTGGAAATTTTGCTCATCAGGGAAAAAAGCAAGCAGTATTTCAAAAAGTCTCTGGTTAACAGATTGTTATTTTGCTTCCCCACTCTCCTTTTTATCAGACCCACACAAAGAAAAAGCACATGAACAAGTGTATCATCTCCCTCCGAGACCTTAAAGTGGCTGTCGTCGAGGAGATACAGTGTCTGGTACAAGAACTGAAGAACATCCAGTCAGTTCTTCACGTATCCAAGCACATCCCCATCCCTGATATCCCTCAGATATACCCAGAAGAAGTTCCAGAAAAGAGATTTCAGTATGATGAGGAAACTCTCCTAGCATTTCAGCAACGGAAGAAAAAAAGTGAGGATGAAAAGTCCCTCCAAATGGAGCAGGGAGGGTTTGAGAACTTAAGCGGAGGGTTCCTCAGACTGTCTATTGGAAAGGAAGGAGATGTGACCACGCGTGATTCCGTGTCTAGATCGTCAAAGGCATCAGCATTCTGTATAGATGTTCTGAAGTTAGTAGAATTTGAAAAACCAGAACCAACTGACGTGGAGCTGGAGATTATGAGGCGGGAAGAGGTTAAACATGTGTACATGCAGCAGTATTTGACCAACAGGGTAAGGAGCGAACATGTATTCATTGAAAGCTCAAAGAGTCTGGAAAAATAAGATTTAGTTTCTTATTTATTAAAATGTCTCTAGATCGACCTTCCCCAAACCCTAGACAGACCACAATTTATTGCTGGCTTGACTTCCTCCTCATGCCTGATCTTCTGAAAATCATTGTACTCTGCCCAGAATGTTGGGGGCTTTTAAAATGTCTTTCTTTTTGGAAAGTAGACTGAAGATTAAAGGTAAATCCAAGTTAATTGGCATCTAACTGAAGGAAAGTTAAAGGGGAAGTGCTGGAGCATCTTTCAGATGATGGGCAGTATGAACTCAAAATACTTCCAGAGAAAAGGGGGTACTTTCTGTTTTTTTTTTTAATTTATGCATATAAAACTGAGGAACAGGCCAGAGGTGCAGGGGTGGTGAGAGGATTCACTAGCAACAGAATGGGGAGCAGAACAGGCAGGTCCTTGAAGTACACTGCTGAAGGGAGCAGTGGATGGGTCAGGAGAGGTCTGTAGCACCATGGGTCAGCTCCCTTGTGGGGGATTGAACTTATGCTGCAGTGGCTTCAGAGAGCTTTATAATGTGGCGATTTAACCCATTGCGCCACCAGGGAGAGCCCTGTTAGTTTTATTTATTTATTTTTTTAAATTGATTTTCTAATTCTCCAAAGACCACATCTGATTCTCCCCTCCTCCTGTTCCTCCCTCTCCCCAGGGTCAAGGATAATGCCAGGCATATAGCAGATATTCTGGAACTTACTTTGGTTGTTTTAGTCTAATTTACTAATTTAATGTGTTAACTTAGCAAGTATGTACTGGACATTTTGTGAGCAGAGTGTGCTGCTAGCTTAGTGGTAGGAATGCAGCTATCCTTAGACAGGCATACTCTCTCCATCCTTATAAACTTTACAGAAGCTATCGGGTGAGAGAATAAACAAGTGTAACTATTACAAACACGGACACTTGTGTGGTATATATAGTTCACCATGGTATCACACTAAAGTACATTTAAAAATAATTCACATTTATTGACTGTGACAGGGAAGCCCATGTGGTCTACAGCAACCCTTCATTAAGATGTTGTTTTTCTTTTCCTTCCCCCCACTCTTTAACTCTGAAGTTCTCTAGCTGAGCTTGGGCCTCACTCATTCCAAGCCTTGGGCAGCTCAGGCTCCCCATCATGTAGACCTTAATGGAAAAGGGGGGTGGTGCGCCTTCTTCCTGTTTTAGTTTTCCCAGGAGACTCAGCTCTCTCTAGGGCTGGGGTTGGGGAGAAGCTATGCCAATATCAGGGTAAAACTGGGGATTTAAAATGATTAGGATGGCAGTGGAATAAGGTCTAGATCAGGACTTGGGTCACGTCCCAACCCAGCTCTGTAACAAGTTGGTTTTAATCTCTGAAGAATCACCTTTGACCTCAAATCTGTAAAATGGGATTGAACAGGCTTGTGTGGTTCCATGATTATAAGTATCTACTTTAAAAATGTACTCTTAGCCCTCCCTGGTGGTGCAGTGGGTTAAAACCCAGCACTAAGAAGCTATAGCCACTTCAGCATGAGTTTGATCCCCACCCTGGAGGTGACCCACATGGTGCAGCAGACCTCTCCTGACCCGATCACTGCTCCCCTCAGCAGTGTACTTCATCAGTTGGCCTGTTCTGCCCCCCACTCTGTCTCTGGTGAATCTCACCACCCCTGCACCTCCAGCCTGTACCCCAGTTCTGTGTGCATAAATAAATCTTTTTTTAAATGTACTCTTGCACTCTTAAAAGTGTTAAAAAAACTTGAGACATTTACTTAGTGCTATTGTTTGAAATAGCAATTTAGAGATACTATGAGGAGATAAAGTAGGGGCAATATAAACACTATCCAGGAAGAATGCCTAGTCTTAGGTTTAAATCACACAGTACAGCTAGAAGGGCATTCTAGACTGATGACTTAATCAATGGTGATGAAATAACTGGAAGGACTGTAGTTACAGAATTCCTGTCCTTTAAAAAGTGAATGCCACTATTGAATTGATTTATGTGGGTACCCACACGCTTCTCCATCCGTATTAAAGGTACAATGAGACATACTTACTTTCAAGTTATATTAGTTAAAAAATTTAAATATTACTAATGCCTCATATCCTCACATCTTTTTCTACCTTAGATCAGAGAACTTATTGTTACTTTTGATGCAGAACTTCGTCTCCTGAGACATCAGAAACTGAAACTAGATACTCAGATGAAATTATCTGACTTGCACCATCTCACGCTGTTTCAAGAAATGCTTCTCCTTAAGAACTTTGAAAAACAGGAGAATATCCTTCAAGAGCGTGTTAACTCACTAGACAAAGAGGAACAGGACATGCAAGTATGAGCACCTGGGTTATGGAGGCAGCCGGGTTCTTTTTTTCTTCTCAACTTAATTTCCTCCTTGTTCTAGTCCTCTTTTCTTTTTTGTCTTCTCTACTTGGTCAGTTTCCTGTTTTTGGTATCCTTGGTCACAGAAAAGTGAACCAAAATTTGATTTGATGTTTTGTAAGGTTGAGAATAAAATCTCATGTGAATCAGTTTATAGATTTCAAGTGGCTATATTTTGCTTGCTGCTAGCTGTCACGTGAAGGTGAGTTTTGATTGTTATCCATAGGGATATACCTGGAAAAGAAGTTAGTGAGTTTCGTAAATGCTTTTGCTCGCTTTAAAGTAACATATAGTTGACTATCACTGGAAATTGTTATTTATGTGATAAATGTAGTGATAAATTATATTATTTGTCTTAAAGGAAGAATTCTATTAAGTATATACGACATCAATTTCTAACATCAGTTTCACTAAGAGATTTTTTTTTCCAGTTACTGATGTGAAAAAATATTTTTTTTCAAGACCACACATGTAGAGATAATAACTGACATCTATATAGCAGTGAAATTTCATTTGTTTCGTTTTTGAGAGAGTTAAATATTCAAATGCTGAACTTACCCGATTCTAAACTTACTGATTTTAATGAAAGAATGACAACATTTTAATCAGATAAGTAGATGGTGTTGCAAATATCAGAAATATAAACTTGTAATAAGAAACTTTAGAAAGATGTTTTGAACCATAATCTTACACTATGTTGTTTTTCTCTCGCAACCTGGTTTATCAGGAATATTTTCTTGTTTTTGTTCATGTAGTGGAAAATAAATGAAACTCTTAAAGAAATGGAGGAGAAAAAGAATGAAATTGCTAAGCTCCAAGATCAAGAAAAGGCACTCTATGCTGGTTTCCAAGCAGCCCTGGGGGAAAACAATAAATTTGCTAACTTCCTCATGAAAGTCCTAAAGAAGAGGATTAAGAGGGTGAAGAAAAAGGAAGTTGAAGGAGATGCTGGTTTGTATTTTCCTTCTTATATGCGATCCTATTTTCTCTTGGTCGCATGAAATAGAGACATAACGAAGGGACATTTTTGACCTATTTCCACTACACCACTGACAGTGGACAGTCTCTGTGAGGGTTAGAGAGGAGAGCACATAAGCCTTTAGCTGTCTAACTGCCGGGAGAGAGAGAGAATTTTTTCTGCTGAGACTTTTTATTTCTTTGTTGAGGTCTGGTGTGTTTTCTTCCCATTTGCTTCAAGTATGTTTATAATTGATGACTGTAGTAATTTTATCAATGTGGTTTACTTCTCAGGTCATTGTAATGTTTCGGTCATCTGAGTGTGGCATTTATTAGGTATCTTTTCTCAGTGCGATGAGTGCTTTTTTCAAAAAATCTGAAACTGAAATCTGAAACTTTCATGTTAAGAGCCTGTATGCTACCTAAATCTTCTGTTTCACTTGGTTTTCTCTGAGAACACTGCCCTGACAGAGAAAGGGGCCAGCACTGCCAGCCTCAAGGGCTCAGCCTTTCATTGTCACCCAAGGAGAGATCTCCTGTTACTGCTGTGTGGGGTGGGAATTCCAGCTTCCCACCTAGTCTCTACTGACAACACACAGGCAAAGCCTTGGTGCCCCTGGGCTCTGACTGAAGGCCTAGTTCCGCATGGGGGCTGTTCTGCCACTGCCTCTGCAGTTAGCCAGGTGAGAGGGCAGTGGTCATCCGGGCTTCCCCTGGGGTCTGCACAGAGTGGTCGGGGCTGGTAATGAGCCAGTAGGAACAAATGTGTGGGCTCCCTGTCTGGCCTTCTCTGATACCATCCTTGGGAGAGTGTTAGGGTCCTTCATTATAGCTTTAAATGCCTGGGTATCTGGGTACCCCACTTGGTCTTTGCTGCAGTGGGTCCCAGAGTAGGACAAGACTTTTTCTGTGGTGTTTGGTGAGATTGACGTCTAAATGATTTCTGCCTTGTTAAGTTCTTTCTTTCCAGGTCTCCTTGCTAGAGAAATTAGCCTCCTTTTGGGCCTTCCCATCTCTGCCTTTGTTGGTGTTTTCAGGTTACTGACTCTCTTATCGCCACGTCTGGGATATGTGAGGCAAAAGGAGACCCAAGGAAATCACCACAGGGTTGAGGCTTAGGCTCTGGGGTGCATATTTGATCTGTCATCTCTGCACTTTTCAGAGTCATGTGGATTTTAAAAAATATTTATTCTTACAGAAATGGGGTACAGGCCAGAAGTGTGGTGGGTGAGACGATTCACCAGAGACAGTGTGGGGGGCAGGACAGGCAGATGTACTGAAATACACTGCTGAATTCCCACCCCACACATGGGTCAGGAGAAGTCTGCCATGCCATGTGTGACAGCTCCCTGGCTGGGGATCGAACTTGTGTTGCAGTGGCTATTGAGAGCTTCATAGTGTGATGCTTTAACCCATTGCACCACTAGGGAGAGCCAATACCCAGAATTTTTAATTGTGTTTAGTAGGAGGCATAGAAAAAGTAGATCTTCATAATCTTCCTGAAAACAGGAATTTATGTAAGAATTTTAAAGTCTGATTTAAATGGTGTCTTTATTTCATATGGTGGTACCAGCCACTTAAAGTAACTTCGAAAGGACTCTTCTAGAGAGGTTTCACTTCACCTCTTTTTGTTAATTTGAAGTTCCATAAAGTAGAAACAGCCCACTGGCACTCTGTGCAAAGAATATGGGGCTGCACAGCTGAAGGGTGAGGCCTCTAACCCCCTATCGAAAGCACTTGGGGACAGATGTTTTAGTATCCAAAAATTTTTATTTTCATAAAAGATATTTTATATGATGTCATTAAAGGAAAAACTTACTCTTGACACTTATTAAGGAACAATAAGGCAGAATTTATCGGGATTTTGTGGTAAGGCAGATAGATTAGCCATCTGGCTGAGGTCAGGGGCTAATCAGAAAGAAGACGCTAGAGCCTGAGCCTCAGGTTTGGTCAAAGGTGAGAATCTATGCTAAATCTCTGACACCTTAGTATTTCTGCCAGAGAAATGTTTTCACACTAACTAGGTTAAATAAAGATTATAAATTGCATTGTTTCAGTTCAGATAAGTTACAAAACTGTCTTCAGTCTCTCAGCTTTGGAATTGTGAGCCTCTGTAACCAAGTGCATGTTAGTTGAGTCCCAGCAGAAGCAGCTTGTTCTCAACCTGCTCAATGCATTGACATTAACCATAGACCTTTCTGCAGGCTTTGGAGTTTGCGGTCTGTGTGCCCTTCACCGCTTAGAACTCTTCTGAGAGTAAGACTAGTTTTCTGTTTTATGTCTCTCATTCTCCTAGTGACAAATTATTTGTGGAAGACTTTATTTTTAAAAGCCTGGGGTTTAGTTAAGCACTGGAACTGAACTCTCTTTATTAATAATAATATCTTTGTACTTAGATGAAGATGAAGAAAGTGAAGAATCAAGTGAAGAAGAATCAAGCTTGGAGGGCGATGAAGATGAGTCTGGATCTGAAGATGATGTTTTTGATGACTCCATCTGCCCGACAAGTAAGTTGGATAAAAGCACGTGTTTTCTGCTGCGTGTGAACATGGACTGACCTAAAACAAAGGATCCCTTTTCTGTTTTCCTTTTCAGTTCTCTCAGAATAAAATTTAAGGGGATGGTGGCATAAAATATATATGAAGGATAGCTTTGGGGGCACTTGGTGACTTAGTTTCTGTCTCTGGGCAGCCATTTATGAGCAACAAATCTGCAAGCAACCTGGAGTTGACTGAGTCATAAATTATATACAAGGTTCTTTACAAAGAAGCAGCAGATTATACTTTGTATCTACTTACTATTTTTTTTAACAAAGTGTTCTTTTTGACAACCTTTTTTTCATATTTCAAATATGTTTTGTAAGGGCAATTTGTACCAGTTTCCTGAAAATGCTTGGCAATTTGCAATCACTGTTTACCCTGGAGAAACCAGGCTGAGGCAGCCAGACCAATATTCATATACCTTTGATGGAGGAGGGGCTCAATAGAGAAAATGATTTCCTTTTGGGATAACATAAGGTTTAATTTACAAAAACTTTTAAATCTTGTTTTGCTTTTGAAAACTCGTACATATGTGGGAGAGAGGAAAACAACTCCCTTGTGATGGCACTCATTATTTTACAGCGAGATTGAAGGACCTCAACTAACCCTGTAGCTTTCTTACTGGTAAAACTAGGGATACAATTCAGGTTCCTAAATTCCATTGCAAATCTCCATTAAATTTTTATTTTATCAATTAGTTGGTGGATAAATGTGACCTTTTAAAAGATTTTATTTTTGCTTAGAACAACTGGGGTGTGTATCAGAGGTGCAGGGGGTGAGAGGATACTCCAGAGACTGAGTGGGAAGCAGAACACACAGATCTACTTAATTACAATGCTGAGGTGAGCAATAGGTGAGACAGAAGAGGTGTGCTGTGGTGCCATATGTGGGCAACTCCCCAGCTGGGAATCGAGCTCAAGGCTGTCAAGGTGGTTTTGTTGAGACTTTACCCCTAGGCCACCCCTAGGCTCCTAAATGTGACTTTTAGTGTGAGGCAGTGGAAGTTAGTATGGGATTCAAGTACAATGTTTCTATATTATCACTTAAGTTGCATGACCTCTGTGAGATTAAGGTCCTCACCCATAAAAGGAGAACAGTCAATAGTTTCTCCTTTGCAGGTTCTATGAGCCTTGATTAGGATAATGTATGTAAAAGCCCCGTGCAAAGCCTGGCTCAGAGTACAGCTCAGAACTTCAGACTGGGGCTGTGACTGGGGTTGTGACGACTGTTATAATTATTAATGCCATCAGTAACTTACACCTGGAACACTGGTGCCCTGGGTGTGGTGAGACCTTCCCAGATGGGGCCCACAAATGGGACACGATTCCGAATTGCCGAGTCCATGCTTGGTGTATTATTACATCCTGTAACAAACTGGGCTGCTTTTTATTTTGTCTTTTCAGATTGTAATGTGAATCTTTTTGAACTGGCCCTTCAACTTAGAGAAAAAAGGCTGGACATTGAAGAAGCCTTAGTTGAAGAAAAAAAAATTGTTGATAACCTCAAAAAGGAATATGACACATTGTCTAAAAAAGTAAGGTGGCCTCCTACGTGGCCGTCCTCCCTACTGCAGTGTACCAGGCCACAGCAGGGCCACGTCAGGGCTCCTCTCCAGAGTAGCCACCATCCAGTGGTCATACCCCATGTTCTCTCCTCAAGCTGCCATCATTTACCAGTTTGGCTATATGCTCGTAGAATCTTCTCGACTTTGTTTCTATTTTGAATTAATACAATTTTTATTTAAAAAATTTATTTACTTCAATTAAGCTAATATTTGGATACTTCTATCAGGTATTGCTCCCCTAGTGCACCGCTGACTCACTCTAGTCCACACCCACAGTCCATTGTGCTTCCTCCCCTCTTTGTTCTTCCTCCTCCCCCCAGTCCTCCTCCTTCTAGACACTTAGATGGAAACTTAAATGTGGGACTTTCCACAGGTAAAAATCGTGGCAACTAATCTGAACACAGCAGAGGCAGCCCTGGAGGCTTATCAGCGGGAGAAGCAGCAGCGGCTGAATGAACTGCTGGTTGTGATTCCACTCAAGCTCCACCAGGTGATGGGTCTGGTGCCAGGCTGGTCAGAGACTCCCAAGAAAGAGTCTTTGTCACTGAGAGGGCGAAGTAGTCAGTAGCTGAGAAATCTGCCTGTGTAATGACAACTAAACTTTTCTTGCCCATTATTAGATTGTTAAAAGCAAAAAGTGGTTCATCACCACTGTGAGATGTGAGTCACTTCACATTTGTAGAAACGAGGACCCCGTGACTTAAGACTGGAATGACGTAGGTTGAATTCTTGGGTCTTGCATACCTGCTGCTTTCCATACCACTTATGATGCAAGAATTATCTCTACTTACTCTCTACTTAGTAATGATGGGAACCAAGAAAAAAGGAAGATCTACTTCTGGTTCTCCCTTTCTTTGTTCATTTCCACACACCACTTGAATTACCAGTTATATTAAGACAGAGATGTGAGTAAGAGAAATGACCCATCAGACTCTATTTAGAAACGCATGTTTTGTGTAACCCAGGTGAATTAGTTCCCTGCCCAGAGCTCTGCCTCACATACCGGCTCTGCGATGGTGCTTCCATGTTATAGTTGATCTGCGTGGACTGTGGGTGACACTTCTTGTCCCCAGAGGGACAGGTGTAGTTAACGATCTGAAGACAACCTCCTGCTTTTTCACTTACTGGGTGATGAAACCTCCAAAGGAAGCGACCTAAGCAGGCAACAGAGAAGGAAGTGCAGCTTCTGCGCTTTTTTTTTTTTAAGATTTATTTATTTATACATATAGAACTGGGGTACAGGCCAGGGGTGTGGGGTGGTGAGACGCTTCACCCAAGACAGTGGGGAGCAGAACAGGCAGATCAAGGAAACACACGCTTCTGCGCTTTTTATGACCTACTGAGTTTGAGCTGTCTCTTTTGTTTTTGTAGATAGAGTATGTAATATTTGGAGAAATACCGAATGACCTTTCTGGAACTTTGGTCTTTTCTAATCACTCCTTGAGTCTGCTGCAAGAGCGAATCATGTACCTTCAGGAGGAAAATTCCAAGCAGCGCAAACTTAACAAAGAATGTCGGGAGAGGCGTAAGCAGCTTATCCGAGAAAAAAAAGAGATGGCGAAAACCATACAGAGTAAGTAACTGAGCATAGGCTATGATAGAAGAGTACTATCAAGTGACTGTCTTCAAATTCGAAACCAGCAAGTAACCCCAGAAACATGGAAGAGAGGATACAGCCACTGTATCTTTCCCCTCAAGGGTGAGAATTGCCCAGCTCCAACTGTTTTTCCCTGCTGATGAATGTTAAATTGTATTTAATTGTGGCTTTTGTCCTTCCTTCACATACAGTTATTTGCCACTTATTATGTTTCCTTCTCTATAACATACCTGTCCTACCCCCTTTCCAAGAGAGGGAACAAGTAAGCTCATCTCTCCCGATATTGTCAGACTATCAGTTTGCTGTTTAAAGGGATGACTCTTTAGCATAGAAGTGATTTCTTTTTAATATAAAAAGTTCTGTGTATAATAAAATATAGTATACAATTCATATGCCACTACCAAGCTTAAGAAATAAAACATTGAAGACACAATTGAATTAACTGAATAGCACTCCATTTCCTCCCCCAGACTCAACCACCAGGTAAGTACACATGCCTATGTATGTGTCCATACCGCCTGTGAACTACAGGACTTCTGCAGTAGGTGAAAAGAAAATACAAGGATGGGCATTTTCATTGAGGAAAGTAACAGGTGAAATCAGTGGGGAATGAATGAGCCTTTACTATCTTCTTGCAAAGCTAGTTCTTAGTTTCATAACCGGTACTGTTCATTTGATAACATGGGAGCTGTTGCATTATCTGATGGTGTCTATCTCCTTAGAAATGGAAGAGACCGTCCGTCAACTAATGATCAGCAAATTTGGCCGTGTGATAGACCTGGAAGCCCTTCAGACACTCTCGGTGAATACGACCCTTGAAGAACTGAAGATCAGAAAACTTCGAAAGGAGCTGTCGAATGCAAAGGAGCTGAAGATGTGGGAGGTAAGGCAAGGAACCAGGTGACCTTCTTTGCTGGATCTGGGTTGAATGGTGAGTGGTTCTGCAGTGCATCTATGCAGCTGGAGGGGGGTCTGTGAACTGGTCACCCCCAGGATCTTAAGCCCGTCGCAGCTTTCTTACCACTCACTTGGCGGGAAGGACTTATCACAGGGTGAAGGCACCAGCACTAGCTTTGGGGTCTAGGGTGCCTAGCTGTGATGGCAGTGTGAAAGTGCTCTACCGGGTTAGGAGTTGAACTGCTATGCTCTGAGGAACCTATGTTACTCTGCAGAACTTTGGGGTGCTCTTACAACTTAGAAGGTAAAAAACACCTTGAAGTAATAACTTCTGTAGCAAGATATGGACTATTTGGCTATGGGGTCTTAGAAGCTGTTAGTGCCTAAGTTGTTCCTTGAGCAGTGAGATAAGATAGTGTCCCAACTAGAGCCTGGCTCCCAACTAGAGCCTGGCTCCAAAGTAGGAGTTTTTAGAAGCCCACAAATCATCAGCATCGCCCCCATTTTCTGTTCTACCTCATCAATATCTGGGGAAGAAGAAGTCCCTCGTGCTACTTTGCTTTACCTTTGTTTCCCAATAGTTAGCACTGAATCTGCCAATGAACTTGGCCCCTACCTCAGGCCTACTACAAATAGCACAAGAAGTCTCAAGATGAGAACAAAGGAAAGCCAGTAGCCAACTATGGCATTCACGCTCCCTTGAGAATTTTGACCAGGACTGGGAATAGAGCAACCTTTAAGATTACTGTTGGTCTTAGTTTACAGTCTTCCTGCTTTTAACCAGCCAGACTCAGTGCAGCTGTTTCTTTGTTGGCATTGGATTGTAACTTCCTACCTGCGTGTGCTGCTCTAGTTGCCTGATATTTAGCAGACCCAGATATACATTGTTCTCCATATTAATTCATCTTGCATCTTCCTGCTTTGGTAGGAGAAGATTGCTCAAATGCGATGGGAACTGATGATGAAGACAAAAGAACATACCAAAAAGCTTCATCAGATGAATGACCTATGTATTGAAAAGAAGAAACTGGATTCTCGGTTGAATACGTTACAGAACCAGCAGGTATGTTCCTTTTCTTCGGACCCTTTTTTTCGGACCCTTCATCAAATCTGGGGACGCTCCATTAACAGTAGCTGTTGACGAACTATCAAGTGCTGGCACTGAGACCCTGATCTCAGTCCATGCAGTCCCCCGGCCCCCAAGCTGCCCCTCCACCTTACGGTGAGCCCGGGGCCGGCTTTGCTGCATGCTGCCTGGGTCCAGGCACTTACTCACTTCTGGGGTCTGCCTTGGCCATAAAGAGGCACGGTTATTTAGGGGCAAATAATGGTACCAATCTTGACTATTAAAACACCTGGTGCTTTTTATGGCCTTCAAGTTTGTGCTTATGCAATGTTTAACATAGTATTTATTAAACCTTTAATACCTAGAATGTGGTAAATATTTATCTGTTTCAAGCTTTTTACTATAGGAACCTAACACATGTGGCATATTCTAAATGATGTCCTCTTACAAAGGTATTTGGAAAAGATTCCATTTTCTCTTGGTTTCTTTGCTTTCTATTCTTCATTAGTATCCTGTAAATGCTCAAATGAGGGCTTCTCAAAGAGTCATCCCTGAAGCACTGCATCAGCATCACCTGGAGAGTTTAAGAGTTGACTGGACAATGGAAGGAAGAGGAAATGAGTATTTTCTTTGCAGAAAACAAAATACAGGCTCTACTGAGAAAAGAAAATCCTTGGGGGATGAATGACTGACAGCTTAACATGTTAGCCGCCTGAAAGGGCTTTCTATGTTTAGATGTGTTCATTAGCTTTACGGACACTTTTCTAATGGTGTTATTTAAGTGGGGGACTTGAAAGCCCTCAAAAGGAGGAGAAATGGCATTGAAATTGACTAGAGGCAGGCATGCTTACCAGAGGGACAAGAAGTTGTTGCATTCAAAATGATGCTTAAAGAGGGCCATGTTTTCTTCCAACAGGGGAATGCCTTCCAGGGTCCCCGGAAAGCGGATATTGTGGCAAGAAAGAAGGTCACTGAACTGATCCACATCCAGGCAGAAAGAATTTCGGCTTTAAAGGAAGAGATTGCCCTCCTGCGGAGGAAAGGTGGTCTTATCCTCCCTCCCATTCAGTCTCCACAGCACAACTAGATGAAGCACGCGGGCTTGAGACTTACTTTTTGGACATATGTACCAAAAGGTCTGTTTTTTTTTTTTCTTTGCCACCTACTACCATCTTCTTATTTTGAAATGAACTTATCTAAAAATCCCAAAACCAGATCTTAGTCATGCAGTTTTAATAATTTCTCTTTAAGTTTGGTTAGTTTAGAACATATGATAGCACTTAACATCTATTAATGAACTGAACAATTTAGATCAAGTGGATTGAATATCAAGTCACAGACAGCTATACCTCAAAATTGCAACAAAACATCTGTTTTAGGGAAATTTGTTTTTCTGACTTTTTAGCTGTTAGCAAGAAGTTATTCAGCAATCCATGAGAAAACTTCCCCTTTTTGATCCTTGGAAACTAAACTTTGTTACTTAAGTATTCTGTGAGCACATGAGAAAAAGACAAACTTATTTTGCCAACAATAACATAGAATAAGAAATGTGACTTGGAATTCTGACATTTTTAGAAAGCGGTTATTTGAGGATTCAGACAATACAGAGATGTAGCAGAGCAGAAAGCATGCAAATAGCCAGCTTCCTACATCTCCAAATTTTAGCAAACTCAGCTATGAGCAGAATGGCAGGATGTGTTTTCCAGAATGGCCAAAAAAGTGGGGGATTTTTTTCTGAAGTTATTTGCAACTCTACCTGTCTTCTAAGGACTCCTGTGGTTTCTTACGCTGCTTCCTCTGAGGTTCTACCCGAGTCACTAGCTGTTTTTGATATAGATCTAGAAGTAACGAGGTAAGATGGAAATCATTCCGAAATGTGGTCATTTTTGCATGTGTATAGTACTTTTAACTAATCTGGGATTCTTGGACTGAACTCACTGATACTTGGATTGCTGTTGGTAACAGAACAGAGCATTTCGATTCTGAGCTCGAGGAGTTACTTCACTGTGGCTATCCTAGAATGTAAAGTTGGTCCCTGAGAAGGAAAGGCAATAATACTGCATTGACGTAGAACGAACTCAGCAATGCTTCTTAGCTGCCTGCCCCAAATTATAAAGAGGGTTAACTTGCTTTGTGTGTGTTAGAACTGGATGCTTGACCTATCTCTGAGTCTTTCCTATTTAAGAAGTCTGAATAGTTTGTGTCTATTGCCCTAAGTCCCTGCTGTAGCAGCTTCTCTACTAGAGAATTCTTTTTTCCTACTATGTGCGCCTTTGAAGCTTTTAGGAAAATGTTCTAGTTATAACTCGGTTTTACTTATTTACTGCTTCCTAAAAAAGAAGAACCTGTGTATCCCACTCACCCTGTTTCTGAGGTTCAGGGGTCTGGAAGTCACATATCTGGATGTGTCTGTCTCACGAAGTCACGGGCAAGCCCACTCACTCGGCTGGCAGGACGCCCAGGTTCTTGCTCACCTTACTTCTTTTCTGCGTGTGACGTCCCTTCACCCAGAGCGAGCATCTCAGGCACAGAGCAAAAGCAAGCCAGAGTCTTTTACAACATTCTATCAGAACTACTGTACCAGGTAATATACACAGTCACCACCACACCTGTGCCTTTGTCCAGCATGTTTGTAATTCACGATAACAGTTATTATTATATTTTTTGGACAAGGTAGATAGGTTTCATGTCTGCTTGATTCCAGACTCAGTCTTGAATCTATAATTTAAAATGAGCATTTGAGGCTTTCGAAACTTTAATTTCAAACAGGGGACACTCAGGGTGCAGCTTTAGTGGGGGAGGATAGGAAACTACTGTTCCCCAGATCACGCTGTCTCTGCTCCACCCTTAGAGAAGGTGGCCTCACAGGAAAAGAAGGCCAGAAATCAGTTTGAATTGAATTACTTGTGGCTAAACTATTAATTTGTCTTGAGCCTTCTTCCATATTATCATCAATTCTCAGCACTGGAAGCAAAAAAATCAAAACTGGGCCCAACCTATCTGTCACAGCCTTACAGTCAAGGGGGCTCTCTCCCACATGGGAAGTCTCCTTCAGAGGCTGAGCTGTCTCCCACCAGTCCCTGCTGACTGGGTCTTAACTCCAGCCCTTAGTAACTTAGATGCTTTTGCTGCCTTTAAGTTTAAAGGGCACTATACCAATTAACCTGAATCTAAAGCAAAGAAATGAAATTGAATATTTGGAACTTTCTGACTCAGTCCTTTTCTGCAATAATCTATCTCACTTAATATCCACTAACAGTAGACCTACTGTTCCAATACAGGGCATTAAACAATGTCACTTATCACTAAAGTTCACCAAAACTTACTTTGAAGGAAAAAATTAAGCCAATGGGCTGCATAAGTGTGAGGGTTAAATGAGCAAAGATTGAGCTCATTGGCCCTACCCCACAATAATAGGTTATGTCTTAAGTCACAGACTTACTTCCCATTACTTAAATGTTCTTTATAGTCCTTCACTTTAATATTTTTAAAATACTGCTTTCCTGAAAATCATGTTGTCTCAGAGCTTTAACTTCAGCTGTTTGATGGAAAAGATAAAGGAAACCTAAGAGCAGGTGCTGTGTTTGGCCTGAAGAGGGCGCACTTGTCCTAGACAGTTACTCCTGGGCTTTTCCACTGGCAATGTTGGTAGATTTTTGGAAGGGGGATTTTTTTTTTAATCGTGTGTGGCATGGAAATTAAAAACTTACCAATATTTGAGAAAATATTTGGCTTTCGATACACACTGGGTAGAAAAGTTTCGTTTCTTTCCTTTGCCGTGGCTGCAAGCTGCCTACTAGTGTTCACTGTCCCTAAAAACTAGCATTCAATCGTTAACAAGACCAAACTTTGGAAACAGTTGCTACCTTCCTTTTCCATGTGTCATCTCTTGATAAGTTTGGGAACAGCACAAGTGGGTATTTTCTCCCGATACTCAAACTGAACCCTAACATGGAAAGAAAATGCTGACTCACAAGTGACTAAGTTGAAGGTTACAGGGAAGACTAAACATTTATTTAGAAGTTACAGTGTTTGTTTTTACAGCGATATGTTGCCACGGATTATTGATTCTGGAAGGTCTGTTAATGCTTATAGTACTTAATAATGCTTAGAGTACACAACAGAGTCTCTCCTCACCGGCGTCTCCTGTAGCAGCAGCTCCGTGCTTGGGCATCTCCAGCCGGTCACGTATGGTCATAGCGGCTAAACTGTGGGCCTCCCAGGCAGTGGCAGGAATGTGGCGTGAAGAGCTGTTCCTCTTTCTTGACTCATGCTCGGCAGCGGCTTGTTTTCCTTCTCATACCCCTATGGGTAGGATTCCCTTGCTCTCTCCAGAATTATAAAAAAACATATACATTTATTTACAAGTGCATAAATATATAAATATGGCTATTATAGAAAAATAAATACCAATTTTCTGTCTCTTTTTTAAAATTATATATAGTCTTTCTGGGACACTGACTTCTGTCTAAATTGTGGGAGGTGGTGTTTCAAAAGACACGTGCACCGGAGGGCTGGGGGACAGCCGCTTCCCGAGTTCCTGCCCAACACAGGCCTCGGGGGGGTGCTGGGGACACCAGTCTGCTCCACCCATGGGGCAGGAGTCCACACTGTCCACCTCTTCAACTGGCACCAGGCCCAAGCAGCAAGGGGGTCCTGAAGGGAGAGAAAGCGGAAATATTAAAATCCAGGCTGAGCAGGAAGCCATGCTTTGTTCTGGGTCAGCTCTTAGGTGATGGGAGCCGTGTCTCCACCCCGGAGGAGAGGAGCCTAGAGCCAGGGCCCCTGTGCTGCCACCCCGCTGCGGTCACTTAGCCCTTCTCTTAAGCTGCTAGTCTATCCTTGTGCTGTGATGGCAAGATAATCCCATGCACGTCCTCCCCTCCCAGATCTAGTTAGAGTTCTAATGATGTTGACCTGGATCTCGGGGGTGCCTGTCTTTTAGAGTTTTAGCTAGGAGAGACAGGGCTGAAGATCACCACGTGGGCCCGTATTTGGGCCATGGAGACTAAGAAACATTAGCCAGCCCTCTGAAGCGGCCTACACCTCAACCAGGCATGTATCTGGTTTTGTGCCAGAGACTGGCACAAAAAAAGTGGGGTAATGGTGCACTGCGTCCCTTAGAGAAGAGTTCTGTGGTGGCACAGAGCACCACAGTGTTCACAAGAATTTGGCTCTGTTATGATCGATACAAGCTCCATCCTTAATTAGGGGACAGACAGGACCTGACAAAGCAAGGCATTTGAGTGACTGGGAGGGCCTCTTAAGTCGATGAGAGGTAGCAGGAATTTGCCAATAGCCTTGAAATTCAGGGAGACCAAAAGGACACTTCAGTTCAACCTTTGAGGACAGAGCTTGTCATGCTGGACAAGGACTCTTCTCCCTTCCACCCCCCTCCCCAACCAACCCCTCAGGGCTGCACACGGCCCTTGGCAGGGAAGTGTGGATGGGAGCCTCCCTTTCCTCCTGTCTCTTCTGCATAAAAGCAGCAGTGACGCCTTCCCAAGCACCACCTCTGAGAACTGTCATCTCCCCCTCCTCGCCCTGGCAAAGACCTGGGTGGAAGAGAGGGTCCCACGTCGCTTCCAGCCCAGAACTCTGGGGTACGCTTCTCGTGCCGGACTGGCTGGCAGCCGTGGATTGCTCCTGGCGGCGGAGGCAGTCCTGGTGCAGCCGGAGCAGCTGCTGCGTGGAGTCCCCGGGCAGCGTGTACAAGGCGGCGCTCTCATCCAGGTTAGACTTGAGGCCTCTGCATGCGAAAGACCACAGGGGAGCAGAGGCAAGCACAGACTGGGCCCACACTCCCCATCCCTGTGGATGCCATCTGTGAGCATCAAAGCGCAGCAGGGACTCCGCCCTGGTGTGGGCCAAGACGTGCCCCGCCATCATTGCCACGTGTAACCCTTTCTGTTTCATCCCCAGCAAGTCCGGAGTAGTGTATATGAGAGGATGTGCAGTCTGGGGCCTGCGAGCCCCAGATGTGCCTGCTATGGTCTGCCAGGTGAGGAGAGGATCCTGGGAGGCCAGCCCAGACCGGAAAGGGCATTCTCACTTCAAACACAGCAGATACCCCTTAGGGACAGAGTTTGGCAGAGCAGGTAAGCTGATGTGGGGTCCCTAAGCAAAGCACTAAAAGTCATCTGAGTGACTCTTAGATATGGGGAGCTAATGAGCAAGTGAACTCTGGTGCTCAGGACGGAAGGGAGGGGCCTGGTTACCTGGGAATCTGGTGACTCGGGGGGTCATATCCATCCCCAAGAACGGTCCACCTCAGCTGGCTGTTGGCATCATCCCGCTGCTCAGGAAAACAGCAATGAAAAAAGTCACATCTGAGTCCAGGTAACTCTCCTACTCACTGAGCAGGATGAGCCGTTCCTGACCTGAGAGCCCCGCCAGGGCTGGAGGCTGTAGAGGAGGAAGCCCAGCTATCCCCTGGTGGCCCCTGCTTGCCCACACCCCCAGCACCTTTACCTGCTGACACTCCCCTGAGTAGTGTTGCTGAGGCTTCATGCCTGGGTAGCCGATGGTAGCTGCTGGACAGCCCCTGTTCACATGCACCACCCCACTGGCGCAGGGGCGCCCACCAGCACCACTGAGGTAGGGCTGGCCACTGGCTCGATGGCCTGGGAGTCCTCCCAGTGGTACCATTGTGTACTGGCAGGATGATGGCAGAAGGGCGCTTTGAGGAAAAGCCAGGTCTGTTGTATGTTCTGGAAGGGCAGATGGTATGCTTAGGTAAGGAGGCCGGGGGCGGTTTGGAAAAGTCCCACAAAAACCTCAGAAAACTCGAAAGGGAGGCAGAGAATCGACATTACCTCAGGGATGGATAACAACTGTTCAGAATTTTTCTCCTGTCACCCATTTCTCCCCCAGCCCCAACATCTAGACTTACGGAGTGGGGGAAAGGGAGGAGGAGGTGGTGAGTGAAGGTGCAATATTTAATCAAGGTAAACTAACCAGATATGTTCTGTTTGACTCAGAAATGAGTGGAATAACCACTCAAGTCTGGATAAAGAAGAAAGCTCACGGCAGCCAGACCCAGTAGAGCGGCCTTGTGAGTTCTAAGTAGGAAAGTGTGGTCAAGCAGCAGCTCCAGACATGAAAAGTTGCTGAGACCAAGTAAGCACTGTGTCCTGAGACAGACAGGCTGACTTGCTATTCTCCATCGGGTTAGTGAGCTGGGAGGAAGGGCCTAGGCTTGAACTAGCCTGCCTCCCAGGGTGACCTGGTTGAGCCCCAGTGATTGTGAAGGGAGGACACCTCTAATTTGGCAGGGCGGAGGGTACCTAGGGGACGCCCTTGGCCCCAGGGTCCCCTCCCACCCCTCCAGAGACTCCCATCTCACTGCTGAGGAAGATCATTCACTTACTTTGCTTAGACCAGGCCCTCCACAAGCAGAAAGGGATAAAGGCAACGATGAGAAGGACGATAGAGCCCAGGACGACCCCCACGATCAGGTAGGGCAGGTCGCTGGAGCGGGCCACCATGGCCCCAGTCCCCATCGGCCGCTCTATGGTTTCAGGGGGTGGTGGCTGCGGTGGGGCCAGAGTCGGAGGTGGGAATCGACCAGGCTGTCCAGATGACTTCCGAGCTGTAATTTGGACAAGACTCACTTCAGGGTCTATTCCTTTGACACTTCTTTCACAATAGGGAAAACAAAAATCACCTTGACTCCCTGGGTGAGGAGTGTGGAGTCAGACTCACCATGTGCCTCCATCCCTCCATGAGAGGAGTGTGGAGTCCAAGCTCAATTTGAAATTGGCTTCTTGTGTGGGACCTGCTGTTGCTGAGAACTGAACCTTGTTTCAAACTTCAACCCTAGAGGTTTGTGAGCCGAGCTCCAGAGTCAGACTGGGTTTTTGGGGGGAAAGTTGTATAGGGGTTTTCTGAAAGAACAGCTAGAACTTTTGAAAGCTAATATAAAAAAATGTGTGAAACTACAAATAAGGTGGAATGAAGAATCTACCCAGGAGTTTGCTAGAGAGCTGGTGGAAGGAGAGCTGTGTGGCCCAAGGGACACGGGCACTTCAGGCCCCCGGGGATGGCCAGGAGTCGCGAAAACAAGCTAGAGCAGTAAGCCCCGGGGCCTTCCCTACCGCTGACAGCTGCTCTTTATCTTCCCAAATACGGGTCATTCGTGGTCTGCCTCTTCACCTATATTCCCTCTGTGCACTCATCTGTTCCCATGATTTCCACCTACACCTGAACGACTGCCAAGTCGCCCCTGCCCAGCACAAGCCCTGCTTCTCCTGGGGGACAGCTGCATTTTGGTGTTGCAGGAGACCTGACCTCTGGTGTCATCTTGTTCCTGGAAGCTGTTTCCCTCTGGCCTTTCCCGGTATGTGGCAACAGCACCTGTGGGGTTCCATGCTAGGTGCCTCAAGGCTATCTTACACTCCTTTCTCTCAGTGCCTGTCCCACCTAGTCTTCCTGTGCAGTCACCCTCCGCCAGCTCTGGGCAGGTACACACCAACCATCTGGGGACCAATTCAGGCTTTGATGCCCAGGTCCTTCCTTCAGTCTGGCCTGAAGATTCAAGACCAGTGTGACACACCTGTTCTTTATCTGGGCATTGCTGCTGGATACAGGGTTTTAGGCTACAACTCCCCTACCTCTCAGGTGCAGTGCACACTGGAGGCACTCAGGAATGCTTCTGAATGAGTGGCAGAAAGCAGGACGAACAAAGCCAGGGAGAAAAATGCACTTGCCAGTGACGGAAAGATGTGTTTTCTTGTCTCCATTCCTGTGCCTTAAAATCTTCACCATCTGCCTCTTTCAGCTACCTTCAGCATTTGCAAAATGGAGGTAATGGGATCTGACCACTTCACCAATGTGCAAATATCAAGTGCATATATTTAGCAAGTTTTAGGGCAGAGAAAGAGTCAGGGCTTGTAGTTAGATGAACCTGGTTCTACCGATAATCCCTGATGCTCAGTTGCTTTCCTAGCTTATGGATTTATAGCTAAATTAAATAAACTAATGTGAATACCAAATGTTATCATGGGAGTAAAGTTTTTTAAAAGTTCCCAAATAAAGCATCGGCTATTATTGCATGAGTTCACGGAGGAGTTACTCCCCCAGCTCCTGGAGGCCAGCATGATGGCAGCCCGGTCGTGCTTAAGATAAGGCACAAGCAAAAAGAACAGAGGGGTTAAAGTTTTAGGGGGTTCTTGGAAAATGAGGAGTCTTTCTGAGGAAGATGTACCCTAGTTTGCTGGAAGTAGTTCAGAGAACCCCCCCAGGCTCACCTTTGGTTTCACAGATCATCACGTTGCTGAACTCGCTCTCCCCACCCTCATTGAAGCACTGCATCTTAATGTCATAGGAGGTCTCTGGCTGCAGGTGGCTTATGGAGTGCCAGTATCTGTCCCCTGGGGAGAGCAAGTGGCATCTGTGTGATGTGTAGATAGATCCTTGCTTGCCCCCAGTCAGCTCTGTGTCTGGCGGGGGAGACACGCTGCGGGAGCGTCCTAACTGCCCACCCAGGCTCCTGGTCCAGCAGCAAGGACGCTGGCGAGAGGCTTTGTGAACTGCTCAGCACACTGCCATGCGTCAGGAACATGAGCACGCCAGCCCAGGTTTGAGACTGACTTCTAGACCCCTCCCCGACAGAGGAAACCACCGCACATCGTAATCTCACCTTCCACCATATCTTTCTTGTAGTCACTGTCATTGTCACTGTCTGTAGGTCGATAGTAGATATAAAAGCCATGGATTGGGGTGTTGTTGTTACTTGCTGGAATGTACTATAGGGAACAGAGAGAAGACACATTGACAACAGGGCACAGAAGTCATGTGAGCAGAACCACTGGTAGAAATCTTACCCTGGCAAATACGTCAGAGAGCAACTCAAAGAACCCCAGGGGGGATACTATCGTTTCACTTAGCCAAGAGTCCCCCAAGCTTTTGTGGACAAGTAACCAAAGTGCCACTTCTCTTTTCTCTGAAGACGTAAGTACCCTCTGATCCATGCTGGGCATTGTGAGGCTGAGCCTCTGGCCCAGTTCCCAGGAACACATAGGGAGGCATCTTAGAAGAAGGTAGAGGCAGCCAAGTGGCTGGCTCCTGCCTAGTACGAAGCCCACCCTCTTCTACCCCCGCCACGAAGTCCGTGTAGGACCTTACCATCCACTTGAGCATGATGGTGGTCTCATTGACCGCATCGGTGAAGGTGATGTAGGGGCCTGCCACCGGCCTCTCATACACACGGCCACTGTAGCCTGACACCACGTACGGCCGGGAGGGGGCGCTGGGCTCGCTCTCCCCCAGCATGTTCAGGGCTCGGACTCGGAACTTGTAGGAGGTGCCTGGTGAGGGGGATGTTAACTGAGCTAGGATCTGGGGGATGCCTGATTCCCTCACAGCATGCCTAGGGCTCACATGAGCCTCTGGGGTAGCCCCTTCCCGACAGTCCCTGAAGGACTAGCAGTAACTCCCAACCCCATCCGAAGGCAGCCACACGGGCTGCTGACTAGACCCATTAGGGACTCATGGAGAGGGAGAAGTGGGGCTTTCTAAGGCTGGGGCATCAACACTAGACATGGCGGCAGTGAGGGAGGAGGAGAGGAGTGGCTGGGGCACAGGGTCAGTGGGTGGCAGCCCCTACCTTTCTCTAGGCCTGTGATCTCCACTGAGAGCCGGGAAGGGGGGATGGCACTAGTGGCCAGAATCCAGTCCCCCACTTTCTTTAGCTTCTTGTACTCCACACGAAAGGACTGGATGGGGAAGCCACCATTCCCCCGGGGAATCCAGGTCACGTACACTGATGTCTCGGAGGCCATGGAGATAGTGGGCCTGTCTGGAGCTTCCGGAGCTGGGGGATACCAGGCGTGAGGAAGGAATCAGGCAGGGGCACAGTGAAAAGACAGCTGTGTTGCTTCTGGGCTCTCGGGGTCACCATTCCTCGCCCTCGGGAGTGGCTTTGGTCAGCAACATCAGAGGATTGAGGGACAAGTGCCAGTGGTTCACCCTCCACCACTCCTGGACCCCCAGCATCAGACTCCAGAGTTTTATTGGAAAAGTTCCAATCTGTATTTCTACATGGTGGTAACTGGGGAAATGCCCAGAGGATTCCTAGCCCCACCGAACCCAGTGCCTGTTTGGCCTGCAGCAGTGAGCCTCCGGGGCAACCACCCGTAGGGACTGCCAGTCACCCCAGCCCTTGGTTTGGGCTTACGGGAGAGGCGGCTGTGGTCCGGCTGGCTGCTGCTCTGGGGGCTGGCCCCAGGGTCATCTCTCTGGACCTGCTGCTCCTTGCTGGCTTTGATTTCAGGTTTGGGCCTGCGTCCTGTGCGGAAGTGGATTGAGGTCAGCAAGGGAGGAAACATAAGTTAGATCTTCCTTTACACACGGTCCTTTTGCCTGAGTCTCTGCCCGAGGGGTGGAGAAAGTGATAACACAAGTAGTGACAGTGCTTCTGAGTCCCAGTTCTGCCCCCTGTCCCAGGGGGTTATGCCTGGCCCCAGAGTGAGAGGCCATATGGATGCCAGAGAACCAGCCAGCGTGGCTTTCCTGGTGAGAGGTGGGGTTGCAGCCTTCACACACAAGTAGTTGAAAGCTGGGTAAGTTCAGGGCTGCCCACCTGGGTCTGCTAGGATTCACTCAGGCCCACAGAAACCCCAAGCAGTGTTTGGCCCTTACCAGTTCGGAAGGTGACCATAGCTGTTTGGCCTTCACCCGCACAATTGTAAGCAGCCATCTCCACTTCATACAAGCTCCCAGGGTCGAGCCTGGTGAAGGTCAGGCGGTGCTGGCTGGCGGGAATGCCAGAGATGGTCCAATCATCAGAGGAGTTTGTGACCTGCTGGAGAAGGTGGCTGCTTGAGGCCAGGCAGCGTCAAGTCAAGCCGGGAGCTCAGGAGGAATGCTCAGGAGGAATGCGGCTCCCAAAGGGAGTGGGGGGAAGCTCCAAGGCCAGGGAGAAGAAAGGAGACCAGGGCGCAGGTGGGAAGGGGGATTCCTGGCAGCTCTGAGGCGTCTGTTCTCACTGGGACAGTGAGGTCCGGCTCCCTGACACCTCGCCCAATGATTCCAGCAAAGACAATTGGGTATGGGTGCAGGTATGGGGCAAAACACCTGGCTGACATTGCTGAGAATTTCCCCAGAGACTGCTTTTCTGTACTTCCAAACCTTCCACACTTAAAGCTTGCTCTCCTTGGGTCTACTTAAACCAAACAAACCCAGTCCTATCAGCTCATATTCACACAAGATGAAGACGATAAAGACAGCGCAGGTGGAGAGGGTGATGATGGCTGAGTGCTTACTGTGGGCAAGGCTCGGCCTGAACATTGGGCCCAGGTGTTAACAGGTTCCCATTCCATACACAAGGAGACTAAGGCTCTGAGATGAGAAACACGCCAGAGGCCGCATCACCAGTGAGTGCCGAAACCATTGACTCCAGAGAGCACAGAAAACACAGAACAAGACGTGGGGAGCCAGGCACTCTCGGGATCAAACTTGAGGTGTCTCCTCCTAGCTGTGTAGCCCTGAGCACATTCTAAGCCTCTCAAATTCTCAGTTTTTTTTTTGTTTCTAAAATGAGGCAACTCAAATCAGGTTATTCTGAAGCCTGGATTAGATCTGACTTATGTAGGGTTGAGCACTGAACTTGGCACGAGGTAGGTTGCCAACAAATGCCAAGCCCTTCCTGGTTTTCCCACTTCCTCCCCTCGCGAGGTTTCTGCCCTTCCAGTCCTTTCTGCTGCTGCCTTCAGTCCTTGCTTAGAACTTTAAAACTCTAGACTAATGGTAACTATTAAGGATTAATCTTTAATGGTTCCCAACCCCTACCTTTAAACGTAAAGGAAAAACAAAGAGCTCCAGGCTCCCCCAGAGACGATGCCAGCAGCATGCAGCCCACGCCCGCTGGACCTGAGGCTGTGGCCTGCCGGAGGAATGAAACAGCTGGCCAGAAAAGCTCCTATCTATCCCTGAGCAGAATATGCCAAAGTAGAACAAAACCTACTATTCAAGGGACAGGGCTGGTCTGGGTTCATTCATGTCAAGCTTCCAGGATTTGTTCCATGGGGAAAAGTTTTTACAAACTGAGAATCCCCAGTGGTGCTAGAAACCCAAACACAGTAGCCCTGGGTCCGCAGATAGACCAGGAAACAAAACTTGCTTCTGTGTGTGAAAAAGTGAGAAGGAGCTGACCGGTCCCCCAGTCTCCAGCAAAAGAAGGGGGCTGAAAAAACAACCCCAATGCAGGTTTTGCTTTCAAAACCCCTTCCTGTATGCTAACTTTTAAGACATGTTTGTGCATCAGGAAAGGACTGCTTTCAAGACATGCCCTGTGCCTTGGTGGGGTCCAGAGGACAGCTCCACACGCCCCATGGGCTGCATCCTAACAGAGGCTGGACATGGCAGGGGTACTGTCCTCCGGCTTCCCTGGCTCCTCCTGGCACTGGCCTCATTTCCACCGGACTCAACTGAAAATAAGAAGCGGCATGGTAATCAGTCACTGTCACACCCGGAGGGGGTGAATGCGGCTGCAGCCTGGCATTTCCGGATCGCCACGCTGGCCTTTGCCAGCTTGCCTCTTGCTGAGGCAGTTTTGTGGCCACCTATTGGCCTGAAAAATATTATTCTTGCTCTCATGCTGGTTCTTGTCTCCTGGGGACCATGAGCGTTTGGCTTGTCTGATCTCTGCCTACAACTCTGAGATGGGGGTATCTGGTTTCACACAGAAATAAGGGTTCGGACCAGACATGCCTTAGAACCTGGGCTAAACAATGCTGCTTTCTGTTAAAAAACCCCCCACTCCCATTCCCTTGGCTGCCCTTTAGGGAGGGGCCAGCAGCCAGAGCCCCTCCCCCACCCAGGAGAGAGCTGCCTAAGTGCTTTTCTCTCACCACCTGGGGTGTGCCTCTGTGGACCTGTGCTGGCCCCAGGTCTCTGAGGTGAATACATAAAGGGAAAGAACAGAATGAGAGGGGTCAGTGGAGCCCAGAGCTAGGAGGGGGACTACTTCTGCAGAACAACCATCTTCTATCCTGTAGGGCTAGTTTTGTTTTGGAGGAAGGAGGAGAAATGATACTTTTAGTTTCACTGTAGAATTTTCTATATCCATACCGTGGTGCACACAGAACTCGCTTAAGTAGAATATAAATAAAGTTAAACATCTATGATACCTTATTACGTACAAAATAAGATTTTTAAAAATCCCTTTAACTATCCCTTTAACTATGAGAACAGCCCATATCAAAAAGACCAGGAATATGTGCTGGCCACCACGTGGAGGCTAAGAAAGCCTCCTACGCAGTTGTTGGGAATGCTGACTGGTTCAGGCCTTGGCAAACAGTATGGAGACTTCTCAGCATATTCAAAAAGATCTACCCTATGATCAGCAATCCCATTCCTAGGTTTCTACCCAGAGGATGTAAAACACTAATGTGAAATTCTGTGTGCACTCTTCACAGCAGCCAAGCTGTGGAACCAAAGAGCCCAGAGACAGATAAGTTGGTTAGGAAGATGTGCTATGTACACACAGTGGGATACTACTCAGCTGTAGGAAGTGAACTGTTGACTTTTTCAACAACATGGATGAAAATAGAGGAGATTACACTAGACAAAATAAGTCAGAAGAGACAAATGCCAGATGGTGTCACTTATATGTGGACTATGGAGAAACAAAACAAAGGGTCACATAAAACCAACAGCAAATCCTAGAAGTCTAACTATAGTACTGAGGCTACCAGAGGGTAGAGCAGAGTTTTGAGGAGACTGAACAGTAGGTTGTGGTGGAGGATGGTGGGTGCCCTGGTGGGGTGGGGTGCGGTAACCTGTCTGAAGCTTATGGTTCTATATACCTCATGTAGGGTGCTACAAACTAATGTTACTTCCGTTACAAAAGTCAGTCCTTTTGAGAAAAAATTTCTACTGTCGAATGGCTTACAAAGATAACAGTGTGCCTTTGAGGAAGAGATGTTTTCAAGGACATTTTCTTAAAGGGAATTTCATGTCTTCTCCTCTTGGGGGGTGACAGCTTGAGAACAAGGCCTTGAATGAGGTTCCAGTGTGGGGTCTTCTCTGGTCTCACAGGGTGTGGTGTCCAAGGAGATGAGCTGGCCTGGCTTCCCTTCCTGACAGATCTGGAAACATCCATCTGGACAGATTTCCCTCTACCCTGGAGAAATAGCTACAGTCTGAGCAGCGCAACATGCCTTTAAGCTTAAATGTCTCTTTGCCACTCCAGCGCCATGAGAACTGAGTGGGCATTTTGTCACCCTCAGAGAAAACACTTGTTCACAAATACTTGTTTTCCTGACTTTACAGCTGGCTTGCTATGCCAGAGTTCCCACAGGTATGTGCCAACAGAGCTTATTTTGGTTAAAAACAAAACCAACATATGACAGGGGAAAGACAGGTGATGGGTACCAGGGAGGGAATTTAGTCCTCTGGGACAAGAAGCCAGTGGCATCGGCTTCTGGAAAACGTGCAGACTGCGCTCAGACCTAACAGCGTGCACACGGCTTTGTCCTAGACCTCGAGAGTCTCGACTGCCCAACTCGCAACTAGCTTCCTGGGAGGTGATTGGAAAGTCTACACCGGAGGATGCAGAGATGGTGGTCAGTGGTGGGGATTATTGCTCCAAGCTTTGGGCGCTCTAGAGGAGGTGGTCAGAGGCAGAGACCCCACCAGCCTCAGGAGAGGGGCTGTGCACAGGGAAGTGCGTACCTTGCGGTGCTTCACCACGTAGTAGAGAACCGGCGCTCGGTTGCCACCCTCATGCCGAGGCCGCCACACCAGCTCGTAGGAGTCCGTCTTGGAGGTGCGTGGTGAGCTGAGAATAACAGGGGCCTCGGCAGGGGCTACTGGTCCCTTCTCTCCAGGGCACTGCGGCTGCACTGATGTTGGGGGACCTAAGTGCCCTCTCAGGATCTGGTCAGGGCCTCCTGGCCTGAAAGGTAGCACAGGAGGTGTGGCAGTATCTAGCCGTGGCCTTAGAGTTGTGCCTGAAGACCAACCAGGAAAGAAAAGGGAAAGGAAAGGTTATATATTAGCACCCCTGGTTATCTGGCAAGCTGCTGTCCCCAGAGAGAAAATGGAGAGATCACTGGGAGCAGATGCAGTCAGCCTGGTGGCGACAGCCTGGCTATGGGAAAGGGAGGGCTGAGCTCCTGTCCTGCCAGGAGGGAAGCGGTGCTGGTGCCCATTGCCCAGGCTTCCTGTCAGTAGCAGCTCTGCCATCTGCTTGTTTTCCTAGGCTCACAAGGGCCTTGTCTTAAGTGAACGATTTTGATTTGCTCCAGAGGTGCAGGATCCAGACGGGGCCCCCTTTATCATGTCCAGGCTGGGGGGTGGGGCAAGTCCCTTTACTGAGGAATCTTGACGTTGTGGCACAACATAGGTCTCTCCCTTCTCCCCCCACTGCCATCAACTGGAAATGTTAGACATGAAGCCAACTTGAAATGTCCTCAGAGAATAATCTGAGAGACCAGGAAAGACAACACTTAAACAGCCAAACACTCTGCCAACCCTACATGACTTCCTGTCCCACAGAAGGTCAGCACTGGCTAATGCTGAGAAGTATTTTGTTTTTCTTGTTGCACTTTTCTCAAATCTGTGCTTCTGACGTTTTAATGAAGTTAAATTGGAACATACAACTATGAACTTTTTTCAAATTTTATATATCGGGTTCTAAGTTGGAGTTCATTTGAGAAAAGTTTCTGTGAAAAGCGAGCTGGTGTCTCAGGCCTTCGGGCCACTCACCAGGCCTTGTGGTCCTCAGCTGGACCACAGCGTGGGCACTTCCGACTTCATTCTCAGCCATGCACTGGTAGACGCCCTCGTCTTCAGGCCCCATGCTGACCACACGCAGGGCTCTACGGGTCAGTCGGAGGCGCCGGCTAGAGGTGAGGGGCACAGCATTCCTCAGCCACAGCACGGAAGGCGGGGGGTTCCCGCGCACCTCACACGTCAGCTTGGCACTTTGGCCCCATGGAATGACCAACTGAGACAATTCCATGGTGACCTCTGGGGGCTCTGTAGGGAGAATGGAGCAGGGGTCAGAGAGGCCGAGTTCCCGCCCAGGCCGGACAGACTGTGGAGAGGACTAGAGTCGGGCATGGCCCTCTCCTGTCCATGGCTGGTGGCGACAGGAAGGAAACGTCTCCACCAGAGCCACCACAGCAAAGAAACAAGAGAGGCCTGCCAGGCCAGCACACTCCAGCCCCGGTTATAAGGTTCTCCGACTCTCACTACTCTTGCCTCGCTCACCAGGCCCTGATCCAGCCTAAGCCTCAGGTGATGAGGTCCTAGAAAGGTCACTCCGACCAAAGAGAAGGCCGAGGAGGCCTATAGGAGACACTCACCGAACACCTGGACATTGTAGAGGATGACTGCTGCCCCTGGCTCCCCGACCCCATTATCAGCCATGCAGCGGTAGGTCCCTGAATCTTCCTCGCTGGTGGTGTCGATGAGGAGGTTGCTCAATAGAAAGCGCGTTTTGTTGTAGCCGGCAACACTGGACCCATCTTTGGCCCAGGTGACCCGAGGGGGTGGGATCCCACTGGCCACACACTCCAGGATGAGACTCTGGCCTTTGGTAACGATGATGGTCTGGGCCTCTGGGGGGTAGATGATGCGGGCAGCCTCGGCGGTGGAGCCTGGAGGGAGGGGCAGGAGGGCAGGGCAGTGTGAGTGGCCTCGGCTCCTGCAGGGCATCCTCTGTCCCATCTTGGGGGGCCCGACCCCAGGAGGCAATCTCAGAGTATGAATTTGGAATCAAGCAGCTCTTCAAGGACTTATGATCTACAGAAAGTAGGGTGAGTGGCTTGATGCCCCTGGGTCTTGGTTCCCTTTTGGGAAATGAGGTGCTCCTTCTACAGAGAGCCGTTGTGCGGAAGCAGTGAGAGAACACTTCTGACTGTCATATAGGGGCAGATCCAAGTTTTATAAGATTGGAATTTTCTATAGTTTGGGGTGTGCTCTTTAAGGAAAAAAAATACAAAATGAGAGGTACAAAATTAGGAGACGGGAGGACCCCTGAAGTTGCGCTTTATTAGTCTCATAGTAAACCTGCCCCTGGAGCCCACTCCAAAGCCTAACTCCAGGGAAGATGTTCCAGAGGGTGCGGATCAGTGCTGGCACCTGGCAGGTGCTCAGAAAAGGTAGCTGCTGTTTTCCTGAGTGGGGGAGCATGTGAGCCTCCACTCACTTTCACCAGGACGGGGGCTGGGCACACCTCGGCTCTGCAGATGGGGTGCAGACCACACAAGGCAGGGCTGGTGGTCTCACACCTGATTACACGCACAGCCAGGTTCTTCATGCACATGCGTCAGCTGCTGAGCAGACGTTCTGTCTCAGCACACTCAGCCAGCCCACCTCCCCTTGTGAAAGTAACATAACACAGTACTCAAGAGGCAGGAGAAAGGGTGTGCTCTCCACAGGGTCCTGACGTCCAACTGGCCTGAGCCCCAGTGCGGCTCCCTCCTCGGGGAACACAGACCAGGAGTGAGGACTTTTGTGGCCCGGGGCTCCCTCCACTTCACAGCCTGGGTGCCCCTCCTTACGGCGCACACGCAGCCTGTCACTGGAGCCAGAGGTTTTCACTTCCTGTGTGACTGGGTTGTAGGCAGCACACTTGTACATTCCCTCGTCCTCTTGGCTGGCGTTCACAATCTGGAGGTTCCCCGATGGCATGATCAAGTAGTTATCTGAGGGCAGAGCAAAGGGAAATGGGGTGTTTGGGGCCAGATACTGCACTCAGCAGTTCCTACAAAGGCTGGGGGCAGGGGCTGCAGATGGGGCATGTAGGCAGAGTGTATACTCAAATCCCATCAAGCCCAGATCAAAAAGCTGTAAAACCTTGCATCACATGGACCAGAAGTGCCAGGAAGAGAAACTAACCAACCAATCAGCTAAAAAACTAGCAAACCCACCCCGCTTCCCAAATTAGTACATAGGTCTGTGGAAGGACATTTTCAAGGGCCATGTGATAACGTAAAAGGAAGAGGACTTGGGGTCAGCCAGTCCTGTGTTAAGCTCTGGAAATGCTGTGGATCCTGTGTGACTTTAGACAAATCACTTAACCCCTCTGATCCTCTTATTTGTAAGCTGAAGAAATGTATGCTGCCTCTGAGTCATATAAGAAAGATCATTCCTGTCAGCCACAGATGAAGAGAATGACTTTAGAATGTCCTATTAGTCTCCATCATGGTCACAGCTCTGAGCCACCTCACTACTGAATTTCTGAAATCAGATAGGAATAGTCTAAACCCCATGCCACCTTCTCCATGAATGCCACTGAAGCCTTTCTGTGCTATATTCAGGTTCTTTAAACAAGAGACAGATAGATAGCTAGTGGACACCCTCACTGCAGCCCTGAGCTCTCTGGTGGCCTGCCCTGGGAGTCACAGTGCTGTGTTGCTGTACTCTGGGTTCCCCAAGCTGGCTGATACCCTTCTGCCACTGGGTTACTGCCCCAGGTGTGAGCTGCTTGGGCAAATGCCAAACAGCAAAGTCCCTTGATCCTGGGATGGCTGGGCCTCCCCTATGGGCTACTGTGAGGGAGAGTAGGGTGGGGAATACCCTTCTCCTCTCAGTCTCCACTTCTGAGTAGCAGGCTTAGGGTTCACTTTTCAAAAATTAATTTTCAGCATTTTTTTTACAATGAATATGTATTCCTTTCATAACCAAAACAAGTTAATAAAAATACATTAAATTCTATAGGGTATCTTAAGACACATACATTTTGAGTTGTGGGGTGCAAATAAGTTGGGACTACTTGGTATGAGCGCGGGGTCAATTGTAGGCAGGAGATAACCTCATTTTGGGACAACCCCTCTCCCCACTGACTCCCTGGGCAAAGCTTGGCTTCCCTCCCCCAGCTGTGATATCCACTGTGGCCTGCATGGGACGCTGTCATGGTTCAAAAAGCTGTGTTACCAGGACAATGGCAAGAGGAAAAACTGGCGAGAGGAAAAACTGAAGTCCCACTAAAATGATTGCTCTGCTGTGTGGGGAAGAGCTATACCTCCCACCAGGGAAGCCTGAAGCTCCAGGACAGTGGGGGTAGTCAGGAAGCCTTTTCTGTGCACTTGGTGATCAGGAGCCACACTGTGCGGAGAGGCCAGAGCAAGCGGCAGCGGCTTCCAGGGCCTCAGCGCATGAAGACATTCCTCATGATAAGGTAGGGGACCCTGATAACAGTAGCCGGGCTCTTGGGAATCCTACAGGACTAAAAGTCAAACAGAAGACAGCTGGCCAGCATGAGGAGGGGGGCAGGTGTGCCTATGGGGGTTGGGACGCAATCTTCCCTGGTGGCCATCTTCCCTCCTGGCCTGGAGGGAAGATCGTTCACTCACCCCTGGAGGCTTCCAGCCACTCTTGTTTGACACTGTATCGGACCTGGGCTTTCGGGTGGCTCTCAGGAAGGTGGCAGGCAATGACTGCTGTGTTTCCCTCGTCTACTTCAATCACATGCTGTACATCTAGCTTGAAGTCCTGGAGATCTATGGAGAGAAGGCAAGTGTCAGTGGGCCTCGCTCGAGAAGAGAGACGATGCAATATTTCAGGTGGGCATGCACCTTGTGTTCTGGTCACAATAAGCAGCTACAGAACCTCACTCACTGGGAGTTGTCACGGGGTGACATGCTGCTATAAGTCCTCCTTAGCTTCTTGTTGACTCTAGGAGTTTTAGGAAGGCCCTAATCACCACATGGGGGAGTTCAGGTTGCTCTGCATAAGCTGGGGTTGGGGGAGCTGTAAAACTTCTGTCTGGGCCCTCCCTGGTGGCGCAGCGGGTTAAAGCACAGCACTGAGAATCTGAAGCCACTTCCGCATGAGTTCGATTCCCGCCTGCCTCCTGCCCCGGAGGAGACCACATGGCAAGCCAGACCTCTCCTGACCCGCCAGCTGCTCCCCTCAGCAGTGTACTTCGTCAATCTGCCTGTTCTGCTCCCCACTCTGTCTCTGGTGAAGCCTCTCACCGTCCCTGAGCCTCTGGCCTGTACCCCAGTTCTGTATGAATAAATAAATAAATCTTTAAAAAAAAAAAAAAAAAAAAAACTTCTGTCTGGTTGGAGCCTGTGATGCCAACCAGCCTCTTGTAACATTAAGATATGGGGGGCAAGTTGGCCAGGCCCACTGAACCAAACTGAACCTGCTGGAAGTGGGTTCTGTTCAGGGTACTAAGTTCCTGGCATAGTTTGACTAATGGAGACTAAAGGAACAATGAAGGAATGATAATGTCTCCTCTCTAGTTTGGTCAAGAACAGCTGTCCCACCTAAGGTTCTTATCAGATATCCACAGGAAAAAGAGACAGGCCTGAGGTTCTGCAAAATTGCCAACCGAAGTTAGACTAGAAGGCAGACTTCTGCTATCCAGGAGCTGTGCTGTTTGACTAGCTAACCCTTTCTCAGCACTGGGGTTGGGGATCTGTGGATGCCCTAAGTGTCTCCTAGGTAAAGAGAAAGCACCTCGGCTTGGCTTAATGGCAGAGGGATGTCAGGGAGCAGAAGGTGCTGACACCAATCTCTGACAACATAGTGGCCATCTCTCCTCACTTGGCTTGGTGGTAAAAGATCTAAACTGGAAGAAGATGGAGGTCCATCCAGGATGTTTTCTAAATAATCCAATGATCCAAACAACAAAACTGTAAATCACACTGCTGAATGAAAAGGGCCATTTATGTAATAAAACCATATTCAAAATTTGGTTTTCAGGATTTTAGCTGAATTTAAAGGAGTGAATAAAACTAATGAATAAGGTAAGGAGATGAAACATTCACCCAGATATTCTTTTCATAAAGCTACTTAGAAAGCCCTGGGGGCACCCCTCTGAGTGCTGAACACACCAAATTCTGTCAACAGACACGGTCAGTTTACTGCAGTTCCACAGCAAGATTCCACCTGCCCGTGTTGCTTTTTCCACTGGAGCCCCAAAGGTGGCAACGGGACAGGTGGGCATCAGATTTCTCATAGAAGACAAGAGATAATTACCAAAACAAACTACTGTCACCAAAGGACTGTCACTCACTGAGGTTGGCGGTTTGCCACTTAATGGAACTTTCCAGAATTCCGTAAAACCAACCAAGGAAGCCCTTTAGTTTTGGGTTACTCCATTGGGGTAGGGACCAAGTCTTGTTCATGTATGTCCTCTGAACCTAGTTCCAAGCCTGACCCAAGCAGATGCTCAGCAAATTTAGAGTGACTGACTATATCACCTTGAGTCAGATACGAGATGCACACTTAGGTAGCAAAGCCAGTGACCACCTGATTCATTTCTACTGCACCCCAGCCTGCTTTTCAGGTTGGCTACACCATGTTAGTGGCTCAAGGTGAGCTCTCAACATGGATTCCTTTCTTAGGGGGGTGCAGGACCTTCTTGGGCTGTTAAAAATCATCTATCACTATTCAGCTTTGTGTACGTGAAGTCTGACCCTAACTAAAGCATAACCCCTTGCGAGCAGCCTACTAGTTCCGCACTCTGCACCCCAATCCTGGTGCACAGCATTCCAAGCATACAGATATGCTCTAAATCTTTGCTGAGTGAATGAAGAGTTTGGAAGGCTAAGCCCCAGGCCAGTTTCATGGCTGTGCAACCTGTGTGCCTGCACCGGCCTTGCACTTGGGAGGGTTAATGCTGTGCTGCCACTGTCGAAACTTGTAATGTTTGTCTACCAGGCACCCTGGATTTTCACTTTGTATTGGGTTCCACAAATTATGTAGCTCAGTCCTGGCTACACCGCTCAGTCAAGAAAAAGATGCATTTTCTAGAGGAGAAAGATAAGGGCTATGGGAAAGGATGGATGATCTGTGTTCAGTGTGTTCCAGATAAATATTGTTAGATGCTTTTCAAAAGAAATGTGCCTAAACAATGCAGAGGCCTTAATTCTCGCTCAGCACAGTGTATACTGCACCTGCAATGTCAGGCGGCTCCCCACAAAGCCAGCTGTGACAGCCTGTGAGCTCAGGGCATCTACAAAATTCCTCAGTCTCTGAGAGGCATGCTTTTCCATGGCCTAATAAACCTAAAACCATTCCACCAAGAGTTGTGGCACCCTTCCCCCCACGCCTGCCCCCCACCCCCTTACCTCATTCCAAGGAAATCTGCCCCAAGCGAGACAATACAGTTAAACCTAGTAGTAGGTCTTTCTTTTCTTTTCATTTTTTTTAAACAAGAAAGATGTGAACAACTGAAAGGAGTTTGGCACCAGGGATGTCATCTCCATTTCAATGGTCCTAGGCTCCTGCCCCATTGTAACTGAGGCACAGAACGGGCACTAAACATGCACCCTCCCTCCCGCTCCCACCTCACACATGGGATACAAGTGAACACTATTTCCCTTAAGCCCCTCTTGGCTGCCTCTGCACCCTTTGACGACTGCTCAGCTGGAGACAGAAGGCTGTGCAGCAGGGGAGGCACAAAGCTGGGCACTGGTCAGCCATGTGGCCAGACCATCCTTCTGTTCTGATGCCAACATGTGCACAACAGCCCATGCAAGCAGGACCAAGGACACCCCGGCTGGGCATCCAGCTCCCCCTCCCTGGGGCCTACTGGCAGCAGTTTTCCTGGCTCCAAAACAAATAAGCAGCAGTTTGGTCCTGGGCCCTGTCCCCTTCCTGTGCCTCCTAAGTTTAAGCCTTAGCTGTTGCTTCACTAGACAAACACTCCCGAATTGGCTGCTAAAGCAGAAGTTGAGTTTCACTATGGGATCAAAGACAGAGTAATGAAGTGATAAATGATAGGAAAGTCAGAACACCTCTTTTCCAGCGTTTTTTGCGCAGGAAGGAGGCCAGGGAGGGGTGGAGACTTCATGATCAATAACAGGCTACTCAGCTACCAGACTATGCAGATGCAAAGAGATCTACTTGGCTGAATATGAGGGAAACCAGCCTGTTACCAGGCCCTTTGTCTGCAAAGCTGGTTTCCTGGCCAGCTAGTCAGGGTGCCTCTCTGGGAATAAGGGGCAGGCCCTTCCCTTACAAATGGGGTTAGCAGGCCTCTTCTGTGGGATGATGGATTAGGTTTCATGGGGAAATGGTTTGACAAGACACCTGCCCTCGCCTGTTGGCCTGCGTGTTTGAGAAATCCATTAGAGGAATGTTTTTGCAGCTTTAATCCTCTTACCTTCCCTCAGACCCATCTTTTGGATCCTCTTTGTACATTCTTCCAGCTATTTTATTAACTTGCTCGCACTAATCAAATGCCAGTAGGCCCACTCTTTTTTACCCAGCTCTCAGCAGGTCAGAAGCCCTGATCTTTGGAGCCAACTGAGTTTACTGACCTCCTTTATTGTCACAGAATTTTGTGCTTTTTGAGAAAGCACATACAACTGGAGGCGGCACATGGACCTTTGCCTGATTCCTTGCCTTCCAGCCACTCAGTGTCTTAAAGGAACATGTACCTTCTGATAGCTTTTCCACACAGCCCTCTTTTCCACACATTGCAGGGATTTGTTCCCACATAAATCACGTGAAGTGCTGTTTCCTCATCAGGCACCCACCTTCTTGGCTAGAGAAAAAAGAAGGCAAATAAAGACTTACACAGGCACGTGGGTGTGGCTGCCATTGCCAGGATCATATATGAAACTACAAATTGACAAGTTTTATCTTGAGCCGCTTTTGAATTTCATTCTCATTGCTTTCTAGCCTTGCTCCTTTATTTGAAAAAGGTTCAGGAGAGCTATGGATTAAATACAATATTTGGTTTATGTCTGTGCATTCTCATAGACAAAACTGTCAAAAAACAATTGGAGGCTCATGCCCCTCCAGTTTCCAGACCTTCACAGCCTGGGCACACTGTGCCTCAGCCAAATGCCTCCAGCACAGTCCGTACAGCTAACGGTCAACACCAAGGGCCTTCCTCAGTCGACCCTGTCCTCCTTTTGGCAGAAAAGCTCAGTTTTCTTTAGGTGAGAAGTCGGGTAAGAAGACACCCTTGGCTGGAGGCTAAATGCTTTGATGACAGCCCTCCTCTCTGTGAGTTTGGCCACATGCTGAAGAAACCCTGGCCTCTACCACGTGGGCATTTCTCACAGACAGCCTTGCCCTGTCCTCTACTCCTGCCTATTCTCAGGGATCACAAGACAAGCCTGCACTCATCTGCTGAGGTTTGGATAGGATCCACCAGATCGCGTGGGCACAGAGCTGGGCTCCTTTGGCAGTGCTGCCCGGACGGCTCAGCAGCCTTGAGGCCATCGGCAAGTTTCTGGACCAACAGATAATCCTACTCCTTACTCTCATGACTTCCAAGCCTCAACTTGTTCTTGTGGTGGCTTACTGTGTCTATGGCTATTATTACAAAGCACAGATAGATTTTTCCCTAATGGGGACTCCCTGGTCCTGCCCTGAACCCCAGTGCCTTTTCTGAAAGATGGCGAAAGTACAAGGAAAGCAAAGCTCTGGCGGAGCTGTGGCTCATGGTTCCACAGATGGACTTGGACACAGAGGCTGAGAGGTACAGCATCCTTGGCGTGGCCTCCCTGTGTGGCCTCTGGAAACACAGCGG